TAGAAATCGTAAATTAAATGAAACCGGTTTGCATAAATCTGCTCTTAAAATGTCATATAAACAAACACTGCCAGCATAGTTTACCGTTTGAATTACTTATCGCACGTGATTTTACAACTGCGAGAAATTCGTTATGGTTTGTAGCAAGAAATTACATGACGTTCTATTTATTAGACGGAATTTTCTTATTCAATCTTGATTTTTATCCATATCCCAAGTGCTATCACTTGCTAGACTAAAAGCGATACTATTGCTACAGTCGAGAAGAGCTACTTACCAATATCTACTGTAATCAGAGGCAATCAGGATTGGTGTGTAGGCGGACATGATATAAAATCCATTGTCTTAAGCCCCCATAGGATCATCACCGTACCAGACATTTGTTATTGCAAAACTCGATACAAACCAATCTCCGTATCAAATTCTCCAAGCATTGTGTAGACTTATGCAGGCCTAAGTCTCCAGTCGTAAATAACCTCCAGATTCCATTACCATAACTTTCTGCCGTAACCAGTTTTAACAAAACAGTTGGCTTCAAGCGTTTATCCCATCATTCCCATCAGTTTATTAGGGGCCGTTTAAAAACGAAGCTCAATATTTAAATCAAGAATAGTTTCAAACCGGCGATGGGTTGAATTTTAATTAACATTTCTCAGACTGCAATTTGATCTTCATTTGTTGGCTATTTATTAGCGGTCAAGCTGTAGTTCGTGGCTACACTGAAGTAGCAGCGGTGTGAATGAGAGACGAGAATAGTCCCAAAGGCTGCATCATGATTTGGAGAGTAGATTCATATTTGAGTCATCATCATCACCATCACCATTTCACCATTATTAGAGTCCACTTTTAGATGTTCTTTTTATTAAAAATCATGGCATTATTCTGTCGAATACTTGGCCTCGGATTTGCTTAGATTTCAAATTCTACAACTTCTTACACAGTTAAAATATTATTCCGGTATTTTTACTGGAAATAATTACAGATCTGTTGGTCACCATTCAGCATAACTTTCTCCACATAGTATTTTCATTTATGCAAGTATGCACCACAAATAGCTTCTTTTTAATTTCTAAATATCTAAGAATTACGAAATGACATTCTAAATTGGAGCCGGACTTGAGACTAGATTTGATTTAATCCCATAGCAGTTAGTTGATCTCTATAGAGACTCAATCTCTGAGTATACTCAGAGATTCGATTGCCATCTGGAACAAGCATAATAAGAGAGATAGCTTCTTGTATTTTTCCCCAGTTTGGTTAAGAAGTTAAGATGCTTACTTGCTTGGTTAACTCTAATCAACCTGATGAAGACATGGCATGTGCTTACAGATGGACCTATTGAACCAAGTCCGATGACTATGTTAAACTTCAGAGCCTCCAGCATTAAAGAAAAAGCGTCCTTCGCTCTCAATGTAACATTATTTTTAAATATTACGTGGATGTAATGTGCGTGCTCTAGCATAATTTACGATACAGTCTGCGTAAATGCTTAAAACCTTCGCGTGATTACATTGTTACGATCACCGTAATAAATACTTAGCAACACTTATTCGCAGTCAATTGCCAGTCGTCAGTCGGGCAATTGTTCGGTATAATAATGATTCGTTTAATCGTTTTGCACCTTCCAACCACTAACGTCACGTCTCTACCTCTAGTATCAGCGTCATTTGTAAGTTATGGTAATTTATATCCGGAGCAAGAACTCTGCGCAAACGCGACTTTTGTGTCATCATCATCATCAACAGCCCTTTACAGTCCACTGCTGGACTATGAGCCTCCTCCACTATAGTGGAGGGTTTTGCCATAATCCCCACGCTTGGCAGGCGGGCACTTTTGTGTCCATGTATGTATATGTAGGTACCTACTAACTACTACCGGGCTGGAAGACGTAGCGTGGGCAGGCCTCCTACTAGGTGGACCGACGATCTGGTAAAGGTCGCGGGAAGAGCCTGGATGCGGGCAGCGTTCATTGTGGAAAACCTTGAGGGAGGCCTTTGTCCAGCAGTGGACGTTATTTGGCTGAAACGAACGTCAACGAACCTACCTACGTTAGCAGTATATTACTGATGTGAAATCAACCACATCCTGCTCATAGACAAATAGAGTTCATCATCATCTAAGCATTTAGTCTCCACAGCAGGAGGACTCTAATTTACCAGAGGCAAATGGAGGATTTAGCCTGCACTATCGCTAGCCAGAGGTTCGCATATTTGTCCCTTATTCGCCTTTTACGCATTACACATCAACACGACTGAGCGTGCCTTTTCTATTGTTATTCCATTCACGTACTTCATGCCTGATATCATCCATTCTTGGTAAAAAATTTCCTACAACTGCGTACAGTGCATATCGTTTTTGAATTTAATTTAATATCTTACAGCTTGTTTTCCTACAATAAAATCCGATACCTATGCTTTTGTGAGCGAAAACTGTATTTTAACAGTTTCTGCACAGTAGATAAATCAAACCAGTACGGAAGCTTCATACAAACGCTCGAAATCAGACTCACGCACACAGACGCACGCTTTACACGAGCTCTAAGCGAACCTCGCAGTCCATCCGTCGCGGGTGTCGCGCGCGTTGTGTTTTTAATAATAATTTTATTGCATGCGCATTGCGCTGGTCGCTGTATTTTTAAAAACATGCCACGAGTGTATTGCGTAGTATACGGCTACTTGAACTCGGCATCTTCAAAACCAGAACTTTCATTTTTTAAACTTCGCAATAATTCTGAATTGTAAAAATGGTTAAATACCTATTACTTTTTAAATAAAGTGCTTACATCTGATTTTGTAATAGTTCTTTTTAAATTACGTAGTTATGCTTTTTAACAATTTATGTGTTCTATTTGATAAAGTAATTTACTCTGCGCGCTTTTGTACTAAGTGATGAACTATACTGTGGTTTCTGTTCATGATTCATGGATGAAGTGCAACAAGATTTTTTTGATCCTACATACAAAGTCAAGTCATGTCGTTTTACTTATTTTTAGATGTTCTAGCAGTTTCAGCAAAATAACAATCAATCAAGATCAAAATCTACCTACCAGAAAAATCGTAGGTAGTGTAAACCGTTCTCACGAATATTACCAAAGAAACCGTACGGAATAATATTTTTATGTGCCTTATTAAAAACGGAGTTTCTCGGTGACCTTCGCATTTCCTGTTATTATACCAACTCCAATATGAATATAATTTCAACAATTATGCTTTTAGTTGAACATTACTTATTACTGGTAATTTAATGAATAAGTGTGCCTTTAAAATGTTGAAAATCCCAGATACTTAAGCATATCTTTACTGTATTATCTAGATTCTAGAGACATAGATATTAGTCTCTAGTATGTGACCTCTTCAGGCTACTTAAACACCACGACTTCACTCTTATCTATTAGGTATATACCAATATCATCACATAGAACCCATTTAACAATCACATAATATCTATACTACACCTACTAAACTAATGAAATATAGCTCCATAACTTTGACCAACAGTTACAGTCCTTAATTAACATTACTTTGAGGGAATAAAAGGTAATGAAACTGCAATATTGCTTCTACCCAGTTTGTGACTGTTTTACTGCCTAAGTGCATCTGATTGCATATACTGGACGTTTTATTTACGACTCGACACATAGTGTCTATATGTTTTGTACATTATGTCCGTTATTTACAATGTCTCCGTTGATATGATGGACATCAGTCTTTATAGGTCTGATAGTAATGCCTTTGTGACCTCATCTGTAATGTCAACGTTGTAGATGAGGTTTTTTGCACTCGCTAATCGATTTATTTAACACCGCCCCCATCTTTTCTCAGTAACAGTAAAAAACGCTTACATTAAACGTCTAGTTTTGCATCATGCAAGGTAGATTAAGTAGAGTCGTTAATATCTGACTAATATGAGAATCTCGTTCGTTTGTGTTCGACTTAATTACTTCTGACTCTATAGAAGATCACATTGTTAAGTTGCCTTGTCTGGATTCCTAAAAAAATCCTTACATACCAGAGGAATTTAAAAGTCCTATCGAATTTCCGCCAAAAAACAATCAGAGCCGGCTCCGGCCGTCAGAAAAACAAATGAATATATCCGACCTACCATAACTCCTAAAGTTTCCACTCTACAGTATCACGGTTGCGTTTAAAAGTTAAACAAACATGGCGCGACACAATTATCGTGGTGGTCACCGACACGCGAGAATAAGGAAGTCGTAACAGGCAATTCCGTGAAATTGCCCCAATTACTTTTCCATCAGACCCTTAATAGCCCTCAGCAGATCCCTGTAGACCGAGGGTCCTCTGCTTCATCCACTAAATCGGGGCTACTTAGGGGTCGCAATACCGAATCATTTCAGCAAAACCGGTATTTTCGGTATTGGCTCCAGACGAATACCGATAATCCGGTATTTTCGATATTTCCGAGATTAAGCTTAATTTAGCAAATTTAGTATAATAAAGTTAGTTTGCGGAGGTATAGTAAGTAGGTACCTAACCTAAATTAATTTATCTTCTAAATAAAACAAAATTCAGTCCAAATCAAATTGAGTTATAAAGAGGTAATCTAAATATTATTAAATCTAGATTAAATTTTTAGGCTTTGTAATGAGATCGTAGAAACAGTAAAGTATCTAAACTTTTATCACTCTTGATTTACTTGACTTAAGGTCCTATGTCCCCTAGATGGGGCAGAGGGCGTCCACAACAGTCCTCCGTCGCGTTCGGTCTTGAGCTTCGCGTTTGATCTCGCTCCAAGTCTTGCCGATCTTCTTCGCCTCGTCTGCCACAGTGCGCCGCCAAGTTTGCTTGGGGCGACCGCGTTTGCGTTTTCCTTGGGGGTTCCAATCCAGAGCCTGCTTGGGGATGTGATCGGGATCTCTTCGGAGAGTGTGGCCAATCCAGTTTCACTTGCGGCGCTTGATCTGCTGGTCGATCGCAATTTCGTGGCAGCGTTCCAATAGCTCGACGTTGGAGATTTTCTCAGGCCAGTATATGCCGANCATGATTCTTCCACCCAAGACAACCAGAAAGAGAAGCGGCGAAAGTAGGCAGACTTGCCGGACGCCCGCATGCACCTCGATGTCTTCGGAGATGAGGCTGTCGTGAGTGACAGTACATGAATATTTCTTGAAGATGGCCTTCATTAAGTAGATGGATATTTTTCGGCGGGACACCAATGTCAGCGAGTCTCGACCATAATAATATGCTTGCTCACTTTAGCGTATCAAAGGCTTTTTCAAAGTCCCTTTGCCATTCTGATGCTTGCTCCAAGATGATACGCAAAGTATTGATCTGGTCGGTGCACGAGCGGTTCGGGCGGAAGCCAGCCTGTTCCCTACGCAAAAGAGGTTCAACGGCTCCCGATAACCTATCCAAGATAATCTTGCAGAAAACCTTTGACGGTATCGAGAGCAAAGTGATACCTTTCCAATTGCTACACTGGCTTAGGTACCCTTTCTTTGGCACAGTAATTAAAAGCCCCTTATTCCAGTCGTCTGGTAGTTCCTCTTACATCTAGATGTTTTCGATGCGAGGTGTCAGGACTTCGGCGGCGGAGTTCACGTCGACTATCACTCAATCAACTCAAAACGAACTCGCGCGCGCGTATTTTGAATTAAACGGCGCGTAAATTTTTCTATTTGTATTTGTTTTTTATTTATTTTACTAAAACCGAAAATACCGAAAATCCCGGTTTTTGTGAAATGAATACCGGTATTAATTAGACCTAAATTTGGCCCGGTATTCCGGTATTTTCGAAATTCGGTATCCCGGTTTGCGACCCCTAGGCTACATACAATTATTGACCTGCAACACTACTATACAACTACTATAATAATAGTCAAATGTCAAATTAAGATATAGCCAAGCGATTTTAAAACGTCAAATGGCAAGAATCAAAATAACAACCCGTCTTGATAGTAGCGCCCTCCTGTAAATGTCATAATTTATTGATTGTCCAACGAGGCAAAATCGGAAGTAATAATCCAGTAGGTATTGATAGAGCGCCCTCCTGACAATGTCATAGCTGGTACGGTTCAGTAGTGGAAGTGGACATCGTTATTCAAATTTATGTATGCGAGTCATTTCTACTAGTACCTTAATATGTTAGTCTAGATATTAGCACGTCACTACCTTGTTTAATATACCACGCAATCTTGTATACCTACCCATTCTTATGAAACACCATACAAGAATGCATGGTAAATTCAGTGAACTGCTCCTGAATCGAATGTACCTACTACTACTATTTCTATTTATTTATATTAACCGGCAGACAGTGGTGACTGAGTTTGTTGCGGCGCTTCTTCTCAGCACTTGCCAAATGTTGGTCTCGAAGCGCTGGTAGGGTAAAAAGATTATGAGACATGTAGAGGCTCCTTAAGAGCATATTTTATGACGATTTGTAAGAACTATTTATTAGTCTAAACAAATAAAGAAATTTTGACTTTGACTTTGACTTTGACATCTTTACAGTTAGTATCTGATGATTGATCAATTTGCTGTTTCGAATAAGCCAATATTTTGAGGAAAGCGAAATCTTTACCGAAATTAATATTTTAAAAACAAAAGATTGTAAAGCAACGGCAATAAAAACAAAACGTAATGTGAAAGAGAATGTCAGCCGGCACTTGGATCGCATGTAAAATGAGTTTTAAACTTTAATATTCACCGAAATGAAAACAATTCAAATACTAATTCCAGTCTGCACACGAATAAATTGCAAGTTCCGAATGTCGTTGGCGTAATATCAAGTAAACGAGTTACGCAAGCCACAGAATGGGTGCCCACCATTGTGGTATTGCTTTCAAATACCGCTGTTACCAGCATTACAATTACTATTGTGGTCTACGTTTATAATGTAGACGCAAATTTTAGTTTGGCGACGTATAAGTTTACCAAGCCTTGGAATTTGTCCAGGCACGTGTCGATGTTTCCTTTTATGAAGATTTGCTATTCAGTATTTGGAACTATTTTTCAATAATTTTAACTGCTGTCGGCCTGAAACCTAAAAAGATCTTTCACCTTTCGCTTAGCGGGTTACTGAGTCAGCTACATACAGATACGAATATTGGTAAACCTATCGAAATATGTATCTCTCTGTAGCGAATAATCTAGTTCAGATTTATACTCTCTCAAAAACCCAACGATTTCTAAAATTGGTTACCCTACTCATAACAGGTTCATAAATGGGGCATGATAATTGACTACGCACACAGACGACAAGATACAGTAACGGGGTGTTTTCTGCTGCAGTCAGCTGAGTGAAACTCACACGACAGAAGTAAATAAACGATTAAAATAGAGAAAACGCCGTTAGACAGAAAACCTGTTTGTAATGCTACATTATAAACTGTAGGTGACAAATGATTCCTAAATCGGAAAAGCCGTTGAACCCACATTACTTTTTAAGAATTAACATATTGCCAAGTGTACCGTAGAGTTGCTAGAGTTCTCTGATACTGGATACTAACCAAAAAAAATCTTGTCGAAGCTTTGGGGTTATTAAAAAAATGGCAATTCCAGCGCTACCTACTTAATAGCAGTCTTCAATGTTATCGCTTACATCTAGATTCTCAGGCATGTGTGTTTCTCTATTGTAAGACTGTGTGACCTCCGCATTTCTAAAATCGGTTTCTGCTCTGACATTAGCGGAATGTCAAAGGTGAAACAAGTTAAATCCTGAACCTATTACCGATGTGTGTATGGCAACAGTATTTGTATTTAATTTTATGTCTATCTTATTGGGAGGATGTACAGCCGTGAGTTATTTGTCTTCTCAATTACTTGAAATATCTGTGGACTAATTTACATGTCACGTTGTGTTGTATTCTGATTTTTTTAGAAAACTAGCCTTTTTCAGTGACATCGTCCGTGAAGATTTCGATAAATGTAGCATCTGTGCTATTTTTGTCAAAATCAGTTCAGCCCTCCTAAACAAAGTGCCAAATGTGACAGTTTTTATGTCGAAAGATGGTCGAATAGCCTTTTTTTGTATGGAGTTTCATCGGATTCGATTTTTGATTCTATCAAAAAGTGCATTTGTCTAGACCCACTGTATCTCCCATCCGACGTTTCCACTGCTGCCACTTCTATGTGCTCATGAAAAACCCATTCAGTGAAGGTTGTAGTAAGAAGTGAAACATTGGACCAAGAAAATTAATCTGAAGATTAGTAGGAGTAACGAATATCCATCCATCCTCACAATCGTAAAGGGAAAGGACCAACACGCGTCTAGTAGATAAACAAAGATTAAACCCAAGGATTTATCTATTGTTATTTGCAAATAATATGCAAATCATAACAAAACGTTGGATCCAGACTGGGATGCTGTCCTGATAACATTGTATAGTATACTCCCCAAAATGTTGTCTCCGTTGTCATGATTTCTTGGCCTAATTCCTCCCATTGTAGATAAAGCACCCGCCGAGTTATTACGGGATTGTAAGGGATAAGCGACCCATCCCGACGTTTCATTTTGAATGCCTCACAAGAAAGGAAAATGAATGGCGCCTTAAAAAATAAATATATCAGCCCTAACGAGATAATGTATTCCGAGGGAAGTACATTAGCTGACATTATAAAGATCGCGTTTATAACCTAAAAATGTTATCCCGAAAATCTTTTGTTGACGATCTCTTCATTACGTTCCAAGAATCTCGAAAGCATTGTGGATAGAAATGTCAGGCGTATTAGTGACGCGTTTGAATTCAAAGAATTCAAGTATACGAATTCGTGCAAATTGTCTGGGAATTCGTTAATGATTTGTGCTATTAAGTGCACATATCGGAATTCTAATGGTACGATTAGCACATCAAGCCACAAATAAATAAGATAAGATATAGAGAGAATTGGCGTCATCCGTGCATAGCTCTTTTAATGCATTTGGATGGGTGTTCTTTCAACGAAAGTTTTGTTTAATATACATTAACAGACAGGTGCAAAACAAGTATCAGTTGACCTCTAAACGTATGCCTTACATTCCCTTTATGTTAAAAATAGCAGCATATAAAAGCGTAACTGAATAGCATGACTTACACCTACCCACTTCCTATTTCCGCATGTTTCAACGTAACTGTTGTTTAAGTAGTTCTAATATACCTTTACTTATAAGGTCAACTTTAGCACATTCGACAGGTTGTGTAGTAGTCCAGTCATTTAAGCTTAAATTAGGTAATAATCTCGGAATTAGAGATACCCAGCTGTAAGACTGTAAATACTTGTATATTGACACCCTAAAAGTTGTCTCAAAACCTACATATGGTAGGGTGTAAGCAACTATTAAATTTTAAGGTCAAAGGTCACAAAAATCGGATTTTTGCGCTTTTTTTTGAAATATCTCATTTCCTATGGGTTTTTTGCTATTTGTATTTATTATAAATATTGTAGAATACTAAATTCTCTACAAATTTTGTTTAAAAATGTTTTTTATACGGTGAACCGTTTTCGAGATAGAGGGCGGAGAGCGCGCGGTCACTGCATCACTTCAGGTCAACTTAAGCGGTTTAGGTTTTTCATACAAAAGGATTTTCCCGCTAATTCCCGTGGGAATTTCGGTAATTACTTGTTGTAAATAAGCTTTAAGTTTACTAAGGTACCTACATGCCAAATTTCAAGCGTCTAACTTCCGTTAAGCGTTTAGATTTTTCATACAAAAGGATTTTCCCGCTAATTCCTGTTCCCGTGGGAATTCCTAAGTTTACTATAACCTGCCCAGGTGTATGAAGAATAATTGTACCAAGTTTCGTTAAAATCCGTCGAGTAGTTTTTGTTTCTATAAGGAACATACAGACGGACAGAATTCTATACATGAAATATATTTTCAAAATAACTATCAGGGGGTGATTAGTGATCGATACTGATGCCAAAAATGCAATCAGTAAAATTTTTGTCTGTCTGTCTGTCCGTCTGTATGTTCCTTATAGAAACAAAAACTACTCGACGGATTTTAACGAAACTTGGTACAATTATTCATCATACACCTGGGCAGGTTATAGTAAACTTAGGAATTCCCACGGGAACAGGAATTAGCGGGAAAATCCTTTTGTATGAAAAATCTAAACGCTTAACGGAAGTTAGACGCTTGAAATTTGGCATGTAGGTAAACTCAAAGCTTAGTTACAACAAGGAATTCCCGAAATTCCCACAGGAATTAGCGGGAAAATCCTTTTGTATGAAAAATCTAAACCGCTTAAGTAGACCTGAAGTGATGCAGTGACCGCGCGCTCTCCGCCCTCTATCTCGAAAACGGTTCACCGTATAAAAAAAGTTTTTAAACAAAGTTTGTAGAGAATTTAGTATTCTACAATATTGATAATAAATACAAATAGCAAAAAACCCACAGGAAATGAGATATTTCTAAAAAAAGCGCAAAAAAACGATTTTTGTGACCGTTGACCTTGAAATTTAATAGTTGCTTACACCCTACCATATGTAGGTTTTGAGACAACTTTTAGGGTGTCAATATACACGTATTTACAGACTTACAGCTGGGTATCTCGAATTCCGAGGTGAATTTACTATAATGACTGGACTATAGGTAGAGGACTCTACAGATCACTCTGTTTATTTCAATAGAATTTATTTTCTATGACTTGACAACATGACAAAAGTCGACGACTCATGTCGGCAGGTCGGCGAGTTTGGATTTGCAGTGTAGACTGTAGAGTCCGTATGCCTAGGCGCAGACCACCAACTTTTAGTTGGCCGATAGTTGGGCTCGATTCTAATTGGTATGAAGAATCGGCCGATACCGAATCAATGTAATTTGTTCACTTTTCTACATGTCCATACTGATTACTGATTAACAGCCCGACCCAACAATCGGCCAACTAAAAGGTGGTCTGCGCCTATGTAATTAATTATGCCGAACCTACGCTACTTTTGCTTATGCTTTTGACGGACGCGTACGCAGTGGTTCTCGTATGGACTACATTGGGAATTTGGGATTCGATTCCCTCTAGGAGCAAAATAAATGTTACTCATGATTACTAACACACACACATATTCACGATAAGTAGCTGTAGTATACATGAATCGATTTAACAAATAAGTCTATCCGTTATCTAATTGCTTTGTAAGTAGAGTCACAGAATATTAATGGTAGAGTGAGCAAATAGTATAAATAAATAATACCTACCTACAAACTCTTTTTAGCTTGGAGCTAGGTAATTAGTATTATTGTTGGAACATTTGATTAATTTATTCATGCTTACTTTAATTGCTTTTATCTTTTCTGTGCTAGGCACGTTGTGCAATAAATAAATAAACATAGCCCCGCAAATATAGAAACAAGTGTTCGAAGTAGATGACTTTACTTCGAATAACCTCTCGGTCGATCTATGCATTTATGTACCACTACAGTCACAAAATAAGCTACAGTCTACAGTCGATAGCACATCAAGATAAATCTATCTATCTATCTATCTATATCAGCCTTTGAGGGGTTCGTCTTCGAACATAGACCTCTTCAGCCTTCCACTGACTTCTGTCCCTGGCCACTTGCATCCAGCTTACCACCAGTACATTCCACCGTTTAGGTATTCCTCTGCCGCGGGTATTGTTGCGGGGTCTCAACTCCAGGGTCTTTCTGGCCCCGCGATCGTGGTTCATCCATGCAATATGTCCTGCCCAGATGGGCAATGGAGATCCATTTAGCACATTTAGATAAACACTGTGGCATTTTATGTAGTGGAAATACGTAGATGCTATTTTCCAACAAAAATAATTCTGATGTGCTATTTCGAATTGTAAGAAATAATGAATAATTTCATACCCTATTGTTTCTCCATTGCCGCTACTAACATGTTAAATTGTACAGCAAATTGGCATTATGTTGTTCTGTAGAAAACATTTCAGGAATTAGAATTATTTAATGACGCTATTTGAATGTATAAAAACGTCTGTGTCATCTAATTATAATAACAGTTTTAGTCAAAATTGAGGATAATTTAAAACACGTTATTAAGTAATCATTTATGAAGCAAAAACGTTTGTACAGTGTAGTTAAAATAACTCCAAGTTAATATGGATAATGTTGCTGAAATTTTCCGTCCGATTCATAATTCGAGTTATTTAATTGTATTTCAATGTTTTTTATGACTGCCTATAACAGAATGAGTGTACTTTTAAAATAACCTGTTCATTCCATTCGATATTTTCAGCTATAGAGCTGAAAATATCGGAAATTAATTAATGATGAGTTGAGTGACGTCAGTTGAATGACGTACCTATGCATGTCAGTGTAATGGATGCCCTACTCCTAAAATAGTACGAGTGAGGTAAACAACTAAGCTGATATTGTGCTATGGTGACTTTATGACCCAGAACATACCAAACATAAATAACCCAACTTATAAACTTTGTCGGATTTTATTAGCCGATAAAAATAAGTGATCTCTTGCTGCTCCAGGTTTAAAATCGCAATTGGGTCACCACCTAATTAGGTCGGCTGTTACAATTGTCAACATCTTATGGTGGCCTTCGGGGTAATAGTACCTTCGGGATCTGGTTAATGACGTATTTGGGGGGAACTGGGGTAATAAATCTCGAGATGTTTCCATAGACAATGTTTGTTTACTAACATCACTCATGTAGCACGCAATTAGCAATTAATACATATTACGCATGTCAAACTACGCGGTGGGGAATAGAATACACAACTAAGTAATTCCTTTAAATAGGTACATCACTACATATTATAAAACCATCTCGCTTTCCTGATTGACTGTCCCTATGTATGCCTAGATCTTTAAAACTACGCAACGGATTTTGATGTGTTTTTTTTAATAGATAGAGTGATTCAAGAGGCAGGTTTTTAAGTATAGTAGGTAGGTACATTATACCTTTGCGAAGCAGGGTCGGGTCGCTAGTTAATTTATAAATGTACTGACTACAATTTTTCATGGTTGACAATGAATTTTCGCACTAAGTATTCTCAAAGGTTCACGACTCTATTGATCTTCTTTACCACCGGGTCCATGAAATTTTAAAATATACTTATTAAGGAAATTCTTTCTTATTTTCAATGTCGTGGATCCGCTGGTAATCATAATATGAACTTAACATTCTTTTTTAAACAATAGAGCTGTGGACCTTTGGGAATAAGCCGAATTTTCTACTGAAGAAGTATTTTTGAGTACTTAATAGGTAACATTAGTGTACTGTAGTTTAAAAATCATGGTCTGTATCTAATCGGACGGAAAACTAGAAACATTTTTGCTACAGAAAATTATCCTTAACCCCATTGCTAAGTAACTAAAGTGTTTCTTAAGTAACTCTACAGTGGCTTTTTATGCAGCTCTCGGAATTTTCCTTGATGTTAAATGCAGTTTTAGTGGACTAGTTACGATCAATTTTCTTTGCTGATGTTTGTATATTTAAATATCTTTTATTCCTGTTTATTTGACGGGTATTTTATCCAAAGAACCACATTTAACCGTCGTTGATCTATGTAAATATGACTCTTGTAGTTTAAACAGGAGTTAACCTTAGTTACAAACTAGATAGTGAAGATTTAAAAACAATTACTTACCTATCCAGATTTAAAGTTATAATGATGGAATCCTTATCAAAATCCCACGTTCCCAACTAGTGAGTCAGGTCCAATTTTAAAATCCGAGGAGCATGTTGCTATTTAAATTTGAATAATCATACTACCGCATCAAACATGTTGGCTGCACAAAAACTCGTTTGTACAGTCGAAATCAAAAGTTTTAGACGTTTTTATACCGGGCGATATTGAATATCGCTCATGTAAACTCTACATAATTTTAATAATTATGGTTCAGTTTTCTAAGCGAATTTTGTTAGTAATTGTACATTGAAACTAAGCGTCGTTACGGCTGGGCGGATTGGTTTTTGTGATGCTAAAGTGCGTTGAAACAACGACTTTGATTAGACAGATTGAAATATAGGGTGTAAATGGTAAATTCGGACATAGCCCCGAAACCAATATCAATCATCAAAGAAATTCAATGTTAAATGTAGACCTACATTTCACTCACAGTCGCGTCAAGACATCAGACACTTGGTTCCAAAAACGTTTAGCTTAATTTAAATGAACATACTTTCCCATACTAAAGCCTAGTCAATAATAGGTAAAGGTGCTGGTATGACGATTTGAGGTTATCCATAATATTATCAGCTTTGGATAACAAGTAAACTGATAAGCTTAACTAAATTAATTTACTTTTTTAATTAACCACTCCCGATAGTGGCTGAATTGTTGGTTTAAATCCAATGAAAAATATTTTTCTCTACACCAGTTAAAGGGTTAGTTAGTCAATCTGCTTACTTTTTATATTGATCTGTATCATTGCTACTTAATAGTCCAGAATATAAATTATCCTGCTTTCGCCTCCGAGATTTATTTTACCATGTAGTACCCCTGTACGACAACCCAATCCGCACACAATATTCAGCGTAGTAGTATTAAAAAACAAAAGAGCGGGCAACCCCACCCCTACCACGCTGTGGGCTCGGTGTCCGAGCGGTCTCATTCCTTTGTGCGCACGCGCAACGACCGCACGCAGTNGAAAGAAGCCTCCGGTACACTTTGTTAAAAGTAGACATGTATCAATATACACGAAAGAAAACTCAAAATTGGTTCACAAAGCCTTACTTGTATCATTTGGCACAACATTATTTTCTTTTCTATACGTCGTAGAAACATACCGATTAGATACAAAAATAGCTAATTTTTCAGAGATTTACATTATGTTATAAAGTCAATTTTGATCTAAGTCGAGTTAGATCCCTTTTCACTGGGGGTACAGAACTATCGAAACTAATACTGTGGCAACTGTGGAATGGTCCATGAAGTTTTTAGAAAACATGAGAAAGGACAAAGGTGGTAAGGGGGGTGTCATTTTGAATGTCTCGTCAATTTATGGGTATATGGTCGATGAGCTTTCGCCTTTCTACAAAGCTTCAAAATACGCCGTTATGGGTTTTTCAAGGACACTAGGCCACACCAAAAACTATAATGTAACTGGCGTTAAAGTTCTTGTTATTTGTCCTGGGATAACAAATACAGATTTCATTCTAGACATGACAATTAATGAAGCACTGGACTTTCAAAAAGAAGGAATGCATGAATTAGTAACTATCTGGCCAAATCAAGATAAAGAAGATGTGGCCAACGCAGCAGTGAAAATCTTGGAAAATGGCCCAAGTGGCTCTGCTTGGAGTATAATCGGTGGAGAACTACAATTACTAGAATAGTGAAATGCATTTACATCGTTTTATATGTATTTCAATTGCCTAAGTACCTTATCAAACTGCGAATAAATATTTTTTTCAATTCATTAGGTACTGAATTGTACACTTTTTTCACTACACATTTTTTTAAATATTATTAACTTTTAATAAGTACTTTTGTTTTATTTGTATTGTGTATTAGAAAGAAAGAAAAGTAAGAAAAATATTTTTATTTAGTCCAAACCAAATCCATAAACTACTTACAACAACATAATTACTTACTTATGTAGTTAAATTTGAACTAAAATGGCAGCCACTCAGCATGTGCTTAAACATTTTCTTACCACCTAGTCTACTTTGTTGCAACACCTTATCAGGTTTATGAGTACCTAATAAACACTTTATGTTGAATTTAAAATAAAAACAATTCGATGTGTAGGTACAAGATAAGTCTAATTTAAATTGCTAATTATTATTTTCTTCCAAAAAACTGTTAATTTGAAAATGAAGTTCACTACTACACATGCCTATTTTTTTATAACGAATTACTTTACGGTTTAAGACATTTATTTCTCAAAAAATTAAAAGAATTATAATCTCCGATTTCGTGAATAATAAGCAATACGAGATTAAAAAATAATTTAGTACCTATTGAATACCTTTAAATTCTCTAGTCGACATTTAGGCTCAAAATAATTAAAAGAAATAAGGATTATCTACTAATGTTTGGCCAAAAAACGTTTCCCAAATTATCACATCGCAAACAACGTTTCGCAAATTTTCATTTGGCAAATTCTCATTTGGCAAAACAACTTATTGCAAACTTTTAATTCGCAAATGTCGTTTTTGGCAAATTATTTTTAAGCAAATTATTGTTTGGCAAAGTATGTTTTGCCGAATGTTTCATTTGGCAAAAATATTTCACAATAAACTATTTACAAAACAATTTGATTGGTGCATAGAATGGAATACAAATTAGCTTGTAGTTATTATTTTGTTTAGTGGGTAGTTAATATAAAATTTGTCATCAATTAATTTTCTTATTTCATTCTTTTTATCGAAATTTCCAAATGATTCATTAACAATAGAGGTGATCCTAGCGCTCGGCGGCCGCTGCCGCGGCACGCTTCGCTCGCCTTCGCGCATTAAAGGTCACTGTTCTAACCTAACCTAACATACTATTTTCTACAATACCTACTTTTTGCAACCTATTTTCTGCGATCTCTTTGTTTTACATAAAATTCTTGTGAAAACCATGATTATGTGCCTTATGCTTTGATTCGTAGTTAACGGTGGGTACTCGTAAGTATGTGAAGTGTCAATTTGACCAAACAAATTATTTGGGTTATAATATTTGGCAAAATAAAACATTTGCCATATAAACATTTGCCAAGTCAAATTTTACCAAATGATAATTTGACCAAATGAATTAGTTGCGAAAAGTACAGTTGCTAAAAGTTCATTTGGGAAATGAAACTTTGGCGATAAGTTGTTTGCGAAGTGAAATTTGGCGAAAAGTAATTTGGCCAAACGGAAGGATACCAAGAAATAATTATTATTCCTTGAACATAATAGCTTATCTAATGCAATAATAAGTGTGTCACGCACGACCGACAGTAAAATATTTTTATGTCAAATTCGTTTACGAAACAATTCACGTAATTTTTTTTATGTTCATTGTTTCAATGTAAATTTTATGTATTTCACTGTATTTCTACTGAATACAATTTCGACATTTAAAAGTACAAGTATTGTACTAGTCGTACGTTAGTCACTATAACGATAACACTTGTTAGTCTTAAAGTAAAAATCATAAGCATTCTTTAAAAAAACAATGGATAGAGATTTGGAAGGGAAGACAGCCATCATTACAGGAGGAGCTAAAGGCATTGGGTTCGCTATTGCTGATACATTTCTTCAAAATAAAGTGAAAGTGGTTATTCTTCTTGATTTGGATGAAAAATCAGGACTACTGGCGGTAAACGACCTTGAAACAAAATATGGTCAAGGCAAAGCGGCGTTTATTAAATGTAATGTAATGACCGATTTGGAAACCGTTTCTGAAGAAATAATCAATAAATATAAAACCATTGATGTCCTGGTCAACAATGCTGGCTGGCAAAGGGAAGATTCTATAAGAGAGACTTTAGCCCTGAACTTAATTGCTTTGGTTGAGTGGACAATGAAATTCCTTCAACACATGAGGAAAGACGCTGGTGGTCCTGGGGGCACAATCATTAACATATCCTCAGGTTTGGGCTTAGTGAGCTTGCCATACTTACCTTTCTACACAGCTTCTAAACATGCGGTGAACGGATTTTCTAAAACCGTTGGGCATTCACTTAATTTTAAAGCGCATGGAGTAAGAGTGATTACTCTGTGTCCTGGAGTAACGCGAACGAATCTTAGCAATTTTGGGGAGCTACAGGGGGAGTATAAAGAGTTCATGGCGGGAGCGGTTTGGCAGGACCCTGATGCAGTGGGTGAGGCTGCCGCGGCCATTTTCCGAGGAGCTGATAGTGGAACGGTTTGGGTGGTCGATGGTGGCAAGCCCGTCAGGCCAGTGCCATCTTTGTAAGCGGATTTACTATAATTTTAGTAAGTTCTCAAGCATTAAATCAGGGTACAATTTTGAATGTAGAACATATAAATAGTGCTTGATATTATTTGTGAAAAATAAAATATAAAACGTTAACATCATTAATTTATTATAGTCCCATAATTCCGTTTCTAAAAAAGAGAAAATTGATGCTAAGTAAAACCCGTGGTAAAAAAATTGTCAGACTAAACAGGCATAAAAAGGTAAACTAAATTATTCATCCCTTACATTTGAACTTAGAGTGTGTTGTTCAAAGGTGTCCGCCTACTATTTCAGTCCTTTGATGCGAGAGTAACTTGTCGGCGGCTTTTATTACTAATAGGAATGGAGCACTCGAGTAGTGTCGTCTATATCGATAGAACAATCTTAATGTCGTTGTTAAACTGCGGTGTAACACCATAAATTAGTTAATATTTGTGGTTTATTTTATCAACAACTTACCGACTACTAAATTACAAAACCTTTGGTGTTTTTATCTTTTATTCTATCATTAATTATTTATTTATTATTCTTTGAATAAAATAATGATTGATTGTTCATTTGAAAGAATTACAGACTGACATCCCTGCCATAATATGTATGAGAACATTGCGGAGCCGTAGTTTCAAACTCAAGTAATGACTTCAGATTTGCTTGACTGAAAAGGTAATCTTTACCTTTTCAGTCATAATCTTCACTTTTATTTAGCCACTCTTCTCAGCACCAATCTATATCTTATCTCGAACGAGCTGTACATAGGGCGCCCTAAAAAGGCCTGGGTTAATACTACCTACTCAAAAATTATAAATTTATCGATAAATGTGCATCCCTATTGTGAAGTGATCTGGTTTCAAAGCCTAGCCTTAGAGAGCTCTTGAAACGAATATCGTATCTAGTGGCGAATGAAATGGGGAGACGTTAAAAATTTAATATCCTGGAATTGCGTAGGTATTTCATACAGGGTGTAAAAGAACGGTTAAAAACACGTAAAGTAAGTAGATTGTTTATCGCAAACTATAAACTATTGTATTGTTTTATATTTTTAAGACACGTTAATATTGTAGCTTACCTTGTAGCCTGTATACTTCTGACATGAATAACCTGCATATTGGTGTTGGCAGTATTCATCACGTAACGTTTCGAGATTGACACTTCTGATGCATTTTTTGGGAATTAAAACTGACCAATTTTTTAGAATCTTTTAGATTAAATTTTAGATTCTAAAAAAATGGTTTTGTCGTCTAACTTTACAGCCTAAACAAAGTTTAAATACTCCAATCCACTCCGTTCACTATTTAACCTACAACAGTAAGAGCTGACAGGATATCAATAAGACGTGTTGGGTACATGTAGAGCACAAACTTGATGTTTAGGTGCCAAGCAATGGCTTGGCTATCACAATAAAATGTGTGAATTAATTAAAATCATGCCTTCAGTGCATTTTTGTTTGTTTTGCTAATGGCTTAGATATTTTAACGAAATTTATCAACGTTGAAATAGTGTACATGTGAATCCACACCGTGCTCCAGTTGTATTTATTTTTGCTACGAATCATAATTAATTAATCTTCACCCGCTATTCGCTCCCGACTCAGCTCACTACCGCGCGTGGCTCTGCGTCACACGTCACGCTCATGCCTCAGTGTCAAGTGTTCCGTGTCGATATGTTGACACTGCCTGTATTTTGCTTCGCACGTACTGACGGGGGCGTGTTGGCACGCGTTTGTTTTGCGATAGACGGGCCGGATTCCGCAACGAGATTTCCGTAGCTTCTTTCTCTTTTGCTCCCAGCAGCATTACGACATGAGCGACAAAGACGGATAGTGACAAAACTGCGACCGACGTGGACCGCAGCTCCGGTCGTGTCCCGTCACATCGCTGATTGACAGAATTGCGAGTAGATGTTCTCTTGAAACATTGATTCCACTTTATTGCGTGCTCACGGTTCCATTGCGTACGGATATTGTGTATTATCTATATATATAAAAATGAAACCCGTTTCGCGTTGTCACGGCATCACGTGTGAACGGCTGAACCGATTTCGATAATTCTTTTTTTTAAATGTTTGTGGAAGTCCAAGGATGGTTCTTACGGAAAAAAATATTAAGAAAATCTCTACGCTAAGGCGGTACGAAGTTCGCCGGGTCAGCTAGTTAATAATGTAATACCAGTCGTTTGGATTTAGCTCGTTCTCTTTTTCAAACAAAATATAAATAGAAAAAAAACATAAGTTTTTTTTTGTATTTACTTATAATATAAAAAGACGACTTGAAAACTTTATAATATAAATAGAATTTTTGAAATTAATCGAAATACGAAATTAATATCAGAAGCAGTCCTTAACATTACAACCAATCAAAGGAAGACCCTAAGTCCTCATCTTCAGCCGAACCCAATGGCCGCCGTGCAGGCTGAAGTTGAAGGCGTCTCTGGCCACGCGTGAGGGCAGGCAGGTCTTCGCGCACGGAGACAGCTCCATCTGCAGCAGCAGCTGGTACAGCACCACCTTCACTTCGCACAGGGCGAACCTTGAACCTGGGACACATTCGGATTATTTATATCACGCTTACTGCCCTTACTGGACGTGCGCCTATTAGTTGTTAGGTGCGTAAGTTGAGGCAAATATTTTTTCGGTAGGTATCCAAATCAATTTATCTATCTTTTTGATGATAGTGTAAATATGTGGGTAAATAGCTCTTTTTTTGTATCAACTACCTACCTATGCAATTTCTTGGGCCAGATCCAAAGGGCATGTAGGCAAAAGGGTGTATTTTATGCTTGTTTTCTTCAGAAAATCTTTCTGGATCAAACTTTTCAGGATTAGGGAAATACTTTGGGTCTCGGTGGATTGAGTAAGTCGGGATGATGATTCCTTCACCAGCACGAATCTGGAAATCATAAACGAGATTTTTAGCTTGAGCTTGCTGATCTTAAGCAACTTTTTATATTGAGTTCAGGCTAAAAATTTCAATTCAGAAACCGAGGGTAAATCAGTCCTTATTAAAATAATTATAAACTTACAATATAATCCTGTGTAGCCCCGCTGTTTGGTTTTCCCAAGTTGTAGTCTTTTAGACACACTCTGTCTAACTGCATCGCAGCCGGCCACAGTCTTAGGACTTCTGAAATATCGCAATGTTTTTCCTTAAGTTATGAGTATTACATAATTAATTTACTACCCAATAAAAGACACTATGATCATAATCAAAGATAATTTTGTAACTTTACCTGAAACAAACATGTCCATGTAAACCATATTCGTTATGGTCTTATAGTCGAATTTTCCGCCGTTGTTAACTTCATTGTCTTTGATTTCCGCCAGCAGTTTGTCTTGAACATCTGGGTTGATGGCCAGCTCGTGGAATGCAAACGAAATTGCAGTGGAAACGGTTTCAAATCCAGCGATGAAAAACAGCACGGCTTGGGCGATCAGGTCGTTGTCTGACCATTCTGCAACATTTTAAAGGCCAGTTTCAGTTTTCTCATACAATATTTGATAGTCATTTTTAGGTAAAACTGTATCATTTTGTTTACACAGTTTTTCTATTTGTTTATATCAAAAATGGTTACCTCTATTGACTTTCTTCTTTCCAACAGAAGACTCCTCAACAGTTGCAAATCCTGCATCAGCATCATTGTTTTTGTCTTCGTGAACCAGTCTTCCTGTAAAATCAAATTAGGTATTTCCATCACAATACTGGCTGATAAATGACTTCTTCTTATTACAAGCATTTGTGTTTTTCACTACATTAAAGAAGTCATTAAACATATTGAGCATTGAATAAGGCGGTAAATACCTTTTTTGGCTTCCATCAGCAGATGTATCATGTCTGGCCTGATGATTTTATGCACCTCCCTTTCTTGCATTGTGCTAGTGACCATATTTTTAAAGAAGTTTATGGTAGTGTCACTAAAGATCTTTACATTTAGAGTCTAAAACAATAACAATCTTAACGATGAGCAAAGAAAGAAACACGACAGCTTTCAATCGATTTTATGTCGTATCATTCATTGATTTTTACCCGACTACGGCAAAGCAAAAGGAGGGTTATGATTTTGACAGGCTATGTATGTATGTATGTATGTATGTCTGTATGTTCATGTGTTCCCTCGTAACTTCTAAACTACTTATCAGAATTCGACAAATGACATATCATTAGAAGCGTCTTAATTGTCCGCTGGTTATAGGCTATATGGGGTTTCACAAAATCGAATGTGGCGCTATCTAGCGGACAAAACTTACAGAGTAAAATAATAAAGTTAAAATAAATATGCCGTGTTTGGTATCATTTGAAAGCGCTTTACTTGTACATTTCGAATATATATATATTACTAGCATTTGCTTGTGACTTTATCTGTATTCATGGGCTGATTGCATATAATTCACATCTTTTCGTTCATAGCTTCTTTACTACTTATTAGTTCATCAATTTAACTTTTGTTAATATTATGCGCCACAAATACACTTTAACACCAAAATAGTACTACCCGACTACGGCAAAGCAAAAGGAGGGTTATGATTTTGACAGGCTATGTATGTATGTATGTATGTATGTATGTATGTCTGTATGTTCATGTGTTCCCTCGTAACTTCTAAACTACTTATCAGAATTCGACAAATGACATATCATTAGAAGCGTCTTAATTGTCCGCTGGTTATAGGCTATATGGGGTTNACTTTTTGTAACACTGATTAGCACGGGATTGCATTTACCAACGTTTTATTTAGAATAAGTTGAAGTAATTTTAAACTGAGCCACACTTCAGGAGCCCCGGTGCCTAATCTAGTTTTAAGGATTAAATTCGGAGTGATACGAGTACAATTTGGTGTCTGCAATTTCATCTTAATTTCTTAATGCTTAGCTAAAAGCGTACCTACTTACCTTCATAATAGTAGGAATAAGAAAATAACCCAGGAATTTTAGCATTTGCTTATAGCCGAAGTTGAGAGCATTCTTTCCTACATGATAAAACTCGTTGTTAACGTCAGTGTGAGAGTTAACTCTAAGCCCAAAAGCACATGAAGCTATGACGTCATTGGCGTAACGACTGGTAAGGTCTTTCACATCAATGTCGATGTAGTTTTCTGTAAATGACATATAGTAACTTCATTAAAGATATAAAGATTAAGTACCTACTCCGAAAAACTTAATAAAATCGTGTTCTTCTTACCGCCTGATTCCTTAAGGTTTGTTTTCAAAAATTCAACCATTTGGTTGGCAAGTTCCAACATGAAGGGCACCATCAACCTGATCTTGGAGCTGGTGAACGCTGGGCTGAGGGTCGAGCGCATATCTTTCCATTCTTGACCTTTAAAAAATTCAGACATAAAATGAAAATTGAAAAAAGCTATAGACTGTAAAATAACTTGTTTAACCTTTTAAAGTAAACAGGTTTCTCCCAAAGAAAGGATCGTTATTTTCGTCAACCATAGATCTGTGGTCGATGAAGTACTCGAAATCCTTTATGGTTATCTTCTTTATCAGCTCGATGTCTCGTGGTATCAATGTTGGGTTCATCAGTTCCCACCTTCCCACAAATCTACAAATAATTTTAGTTATTATAACAACGATTGTCAACATAAAGATAATAATTTGGGCTGACAAAAATGTTAATCTGATATTAAAACAAGATCACTCACTTTTCCTCAGGGAAGGCCTTGTAGATCCGATCCAATTGTTCCACTAAATGCTCCTTTTGTCGGAAGAGTGGTAACTGGTTGCCCAAAAGTGGGATAGGCGGTATATCCTTCACGCCATACCGGGAGAACCTCGAATGTAGCCGTCTGAAGTACAGCCAGAGGGCTGCGAAAATGGTTGCTATCCAAATGTAGAGCAACATATTCTGTAACATGATACCAAAACTCATAGCAGACTTATCAACTCGGAAAGGGATCAACACCGTATCGCCTTTCGCGCGCTGTCAATTGCGAGGCAAGGCGTTTACGTTACGGTGCGGATAAGTGTGCGTTGCAGTATGGAGTTTCATACAAAGAACACTGACTGCCTCGAGTTGATACGGTTACGTGCGATCCCTTTTCGGGTTGATAAAATGTGCGACGTCATTATGATTGCAGTGGTGGAAAAAAAAGCGTTATAAATAGAATAAAATCTTCAATTTAAAATGGAACAATGGGGCTTTGAAATTGCGTTACCCGTATCAACAAATTAATGAATATTACCTCTATGTGGCGACGCGTGTGGTCGAGTCGGCGCCGCAGTGACCGTGACACTGCGCATGACATAATACTTTGAAACGACGCGACGTTTATTGAACCTAATTTAGGTGTTTGGAAGGAACTCAGCACAGTAGTTGTTATTGTGGACTTTACAACGTTAAGTTGATTAATCGTGTTTTAATTACAATGTAGGTACCTACGCATAATGCCTTATCAAACAATTATAAAGGGTTTATTTAAAATAATGTATACCTCTTATTTTCTGTTTGATAGCGTCTGGCGTCTGTATTCTCAGAACATTAGCACTGTAGTGGTCGATGAACGCAGTAAATAATATAACATTTATTTAGTCAGTCTTATCTAGTGTCAGATAACTGGCGCCCGTCCTTCACGATTTCAGGTTCAGTGCTACACAACAAAGTGTTTCGGAATCGTTTCATCAAATAGATCATTTTATAAGATGGTCTAGAGCAGTCTATGATATTTTCTTTGTTCACCATAAATAAAATGCTGGGATTGGAATGCTGGAAGGATAGTCAAAATACAAAAAAATACTCGTACAAAAAGAATAACAATTGTACAAAATATATTCATAAATTTAATAAATGCCTTGAAATAGAATAACTAAATATACAAATTAAAGCAGTCCTTATAAAATCCAATCGTCCCTTCCTAATCTCTCATCTTCAGCCGGACCCAGAAGCCCCCTTGCAGGGTGAAGGTGAACTTGTCCCTCGCTATGCGGGAGGGCACACAGGTCTTCGCGCATGGAGACACCTCCATCTGCAGCAGCAGCTGGTACAGCATCACCTTCACTTCGCACAGGGCGAACCGTGACCCTGGAATATGACGTTAGAGATCATTCATCATCGTCTACTTCTGAACATAAACTTCTTAAAAAAGACTCGATGGCCTAGGAATATAGGAAAGTTTAAACGTTGACATCTTGTGAGCGACCATTGCCACGATCCTGGTAAGATTTTCATACAATTTTACAGAAATAGCAAAACCAGATCAAGCTAAAGCTGTATTGGAAACGTAATTGAGTTTTTATGATTCCACCTGCTTCCAATTACAAAGGACAATGACCAAAAATGTATGGAGTGTGGTCCAAATGACCACTACTAACGAGACCTATGTAGTTAAATAGTCTACTAAATACTGATTCATTATATCCAAACCGCAATCAAAAATATGCTGTCAGTAAAAAGTTATGACTGAATGAAAAGTCATGTTTTTTACCTTTTCATCCGAAAAATATCCGTCATTCTATCCATTGCACATTTTGGACTAATCTACGCATGTTATGTCATGTCGCATGTGGCGCGGGGTATAGATGAATTTAATTATTATAATAAACTAGCTGTGCCTACGATTTTATACGCGTGAAAATAGTTTGAATAATATTTACCATTTTTACAACATTTGTCTTTACTGCTCCGCCCCTATTGGTTGTAGGTTGATGTTATATAACCTAAAACCATCCTTGATAAATGTGCTATCCATAACAAAAAGAATTTTTCAAATCGGAAAGTAGTTCCTGAGATTAGCGCGTAAACTATTACAATTTTTCAAACAGTCATAACTTTTTACTGACAGCTTTTTTTTTTCGTCCCATACTGAAAGTTAATCTCTATTTCATGGACTATAAGCCAATATAGGTCTCATTAGTGGTGGACATTTGGACCACTTTTGGTCATTGTCCTTTAACTATCTCATCTTAAAAGTAAAAAGTCGTTTATCACATACAATATAATTAAGTGGTTTTCAAAAAAGTATTACCAATGCAATTTCTTGGACCCGCCCCAAAGGGCAAGTATGTGAACGGTTGGATTTTATGTTTGTTCTCTTCAGAAAACCTTTCCGGGTCAAACTTCTCAGGATCAGGAAAATACTTTGGGTCTCGGTGAATTGAGTAAACCGGGATGACAATCACTTCACCAGCACGAACCTGGAAATATTTTAATATTGAATCCACGCTAGAACGTGACTTTCGTAGGTACTTCGTCTTAGTTTTCATGGTACAAAAAATATCAAAAATACATAATTACTAAATAAATAAATAAATACACTTACGATGAAATCTTGCGTAGCCTCTTTATTTGGTCTTCCCAAGTTGTAGTCTTTATGGCACACTCTTTCCAACTGTATCGCAGCTGGCCACATTCTTAAGACCTCTGAAATATTCATCAAAATATATTTTATTTCTAAACTAATATTATAAATAGGAAAGATTAATTTGATTGTTAGTTTGTTTGCATTGTTTAGGCTCCGAAACTATTGAATCCATTAGAAAAATTATTTCACTTTTAGAATCTTAAGTTATTTCTGAAATCCTGATGAACGTAGGCATAGAACATGAGCAAGAACATTTTCAACAAAGTTAGGGATCCGTATGAAACCGTACGTATTAGACCGGCTGGTACAAAGTTCATCGGTCCAGCTAGTGTATAATAAAGACTTGAATAAAACTAAATAAACAAAACTACACTAGTGACTGAGATTATTGCGCTGCTTCTTCTTACTACTGGTCCATTTATTGTCCCAAAGCAGTAATAGCGTTAATACTAGGACATAATAAGTAAAAGTGTTTTTAAAAAGCCTATTTGCAAAAAAAGTTATTCTACAGAATTTTACACCACATTACCTGAAACGAACATGTCCATGTAAACCATATTCTGAATGGTCTTGTAGTCGAATCTGCCACCGTTTTTAGCTTCATTCTCTTTGATTTCAGCCAGCAGTTTGTCCTGGACATCTGGGTTGAGGGCCAGCTCGTGGAGTGCAAACGACATCGCAGTGGAAGCTGTCTCGAATCCGGCGATGAAGAATAGCACAGCTTGAGCGATCAGGTCGCTATCGGACCATTCTGTAAATTTACAGGTAAAGTTTTAAGCAATTATAATATTATTGGTAACAACTAAAATTAAAGAAGGAAATCGTGGGTAACGTAGCAAGGAGCGGTTAAGCCCGCTTGTTGGGAAATACAGAATTAAGTCCTAACGAGTAACAGTGTAACTGGTTGAGATTGCTTTTTCCCAACGAGCACACTGTCACTGGCTACAGTGTGACTGCTGGTTGTAGATATAATGTTGAACAGATGTCCCAACAGTGTTATTACATCCTCAGATTTGAAATTTTACATAGCTATTTACTGGCAGTATTACCTCTATTTACTTTCTTCTTTCCAACAAAAGACTCCTCAACAGTTGCAAATCCTGCATCAGCGTCATTGCTTTTGTCTTCGTGAACCAGTCTTCCTGCAACATAAAATTATCGTTATCACAAATAATAAGTATAACGTGTTATCGGTTGACATTCCTCGGGTTCGAAAAAAGTAAGATCTTTGAGAATGCTTGCTTTGTTGATTTTATAAGTTCTAAAGTTGTACCTTTTTTTGCTTCCATCAGTAAATGTATCATGTCTGGCCTGAAGATGTTATGCACCTCCCTTTCGTGCATTGTATCGGTCACCATGTTTTTGAAGAAGTTCGTGATGGATTCATCAAAGACTTTCAATTTTAAACGCTAAAACAGTGATTTTAATATTTTAGGTATTAGTTTTTTACGTCAACTTTTCTTAACTTAGCAAACACAGAAATAACAAAGCAAAAAAAGTTTTTTCAAAAGTCATCCACTGTCAAAATGATACATATTTTAAATAATTATTTAATGATGCAATATCACTGATAGTATGATTAGTAATTTGTTTGCTTGCCCTTGAATTACACTTCATAAAGTCCCAGCGCCTAATTTAATTTTACGATGAAAGCACAAATTGAAGGAGGTCTAAATTTGTGACGACTATACCTCATGACATAACATCGTATACCTAACTAGCTAGTTGCCGCTTAGTGTCAGTTTCTTAGTGCAGAACTAAAACTTACTTTCATAACGCCGGGAATAAGGAAAAATCCTAGAAATTTCAATATTGCTTTATAGCCAAAGTTTAGGGCTTTTTTTCCCACACTATAAAACTCGTTGTTTGGTTCAGCGTGAGAGTTAACTCTAAGCCCAAAAGCACACGAAGCGATGACGTCATTGGCGTAACGAGTGGTGAGGTCTTTCACATCAACGTCGATGTAGTTTTCTGTAAATGTAATAAGCAAGAAAATAATTTTATGTGATTTCCCACTTACTCTAGCATAATAATGTCACACTACAGAAGTACCTACGTACCGTTTGATTCTTTAAGTTGCGCTTTCAAAGTATCTATCATCTGGTTGACGAGTTCCAACATGAAGGGCACCATCAACCTGATCTTGGAGCTGGTGAACGCTGGGCTGAGGGTCGAGCGCATGTCTTTCCATTCTTCACCTTAAAAGAGAACACAACAATAAAAACAACTTACCATATACATTTTTAGTACAGTATCTGTAACATTTCCACATACTTTAAAAGCTGCTATGTATACTTTACCTTTTAAAGCAAACAAGTTTCTACCGAAGAAAGGATCGCTATGTTCGTCAACCACCGATCTGTGGTCAATAAAGTACTCGAAATCTTTGATGGTTATCTTCTTTATCAGCTCGATGTCTCGTGGCATTACCGTTGGATTCGTAAATTCCCACCTTCCCACAAACCTGAAACATTAGGTGTTACTGAGACTCCCGCTTCTTTGTTCAGATACCCTGTATTATAGCTGTGTTAGGAGCTCTATCCCAACAAAAAATATTAGCTATCGACTATTTCATAAATAATAACAAAATACCACTAACTTCTCCTCCGGGAAGGACTTGTAGATCCGGTCCAAATGTTCTATTAGGTGCTCCTTTTGCCTAAGTCCTGGTAGCTGGTTGCCGAAAAATGGGACAGGCGTTATCTCCTTCACGCCATACCGGGTGAACCTCGAGTGTACTCGTCTCAAGTACAGCCAGAGGGCTGCGAAAATGGTGGCTATCCATATGTAGAGCAGCATACTCTGGAACAACAATACACATGATGGCCATGATGGAAAAATATTCGAGCCGTTGGTAAATCTAGCGCTAGTGAGGTGCGACATTAGTTATGTGAATCGTGTCGTAGTATCTAAAACATATTTTAATCCTACCTCTTTACGCGTGTATTAGTCGTGTCCACACAGCGATGACCGTGACTCTGCGCATGAGTGAGGCCCAATCTGAGCAACTACGCTGTTTTGAAGCGACGTTTATTAACTAATTTACGTTTTTGGAGATAAATAACAAAGAGCTGCGTGTTATGGTCCAGTTAGCTCGTTTTAAAGTTGTTATTGTCAGTATTTGGTAGTGTATATTTGGTGAGGACTCTACTTAGTTGGACAGTTCATCAAAACTTGAATTAGAATAATATATTTAGTTATTTTATGTTCACCTTGTATAATTAATTAGGTTAGTGTTATTAGTTAGGTAAGTAAGACAAAGTATTTTATAATATTTATACTCAGATAAAACGATTAGCTAATCGACTATTTATTTAAATTAGAGGTCACTGTTAACAAAAATAAGATACACGCGTTGCCTATCACTGTTAAGGATTTATTTATGCAAAATATGTTATCAAACAACAGCGTAGGGTTTATTTATAAACAAACTTTGATACATACTTGTTATTTTCTGTGTGATAACGCCTGGCGTCTGTGTAGACCGCGCACTGACACTGTAGTGTCGATGAATGCAGTACAATATTTATTTACTCAATCTAATCTAGTGCCAGATAACTGATGCCAAATTAAGGTACATAGTTCTTCCATTTCAGGTTTATTTCATAAAAATGTTTGTTTATTACAATAATTCGGAATCGTTTCATCATAATTCATAGTAATTTCCACTTAAGTATTATCTTTATTTAGGAGAATCTTCTGGAAGGCAAGTAATCCTTTTAACAACATAGTAGGTAAGTACATTGCATTTGCGATATTCTCTTTCTGTTTTTGGGCATATTGCTGCTACAGGCCCCGCCCCCTTGTCACATCTCTCTTTAGTTTTTGTGATCTGTGCAGTAACCCCGTTGTGAATTAACCTTCAACCGGATTACTAATGTTTGGCCAAAAAACGTTTCCCAAATTATCACATCGCAAACAACGTTTCGCAAATTTTCATTTGGCAAATTCTCATTTGGCAAAACAACTTATTGCAAACTTTTAATTCGCAAATGTCGTTTTTGGCATATTATTGTTTAGCTAATTATTGTTTGGCAAAGTATGTTTTGCCAAATGTTTCATTTGGCAAAAATATTTCACGATAAACTATTTACAAAATTATTTGATTGGTGCATAGAATGGAATATAAATTAGCTGGTGGTTATTATTTTGTTTAGTGGGTAGTTAATATAAAATTTGTTCTAAATTAATTTTCATATTTCATTCTTTTATCAAAATTACCAAATGATTCATTAACAATAGAGGTGATTCTAGCGCTCGGCGGCCGCTGCCGCGGCACGCTTCGCTCGCCTTCGCGCGTTAAGGGTCACTGTTCTAACCTAACCTAACCTACTATTTTCCGCAATACCTACTTTCTGCAACCATAATATTTTCTGCAATCTCTTTGTTTTACATACATTTCTTGTGAAAATGCCTTATGCTTTGATTTGTGGGTAACGGTGGGTATGTGAAGTGTCAATTTGACCAAACAAAATATTTGGGATATAATATTTGGTAAAATAAAACATTTGCTATATAAAAATTTGCCAAGTAAAATTTTGCCAAATGATAATTTGACCAAATGAACTAGTTGCGAAAAGTACAGTTGCTAAAAGTTCATTTGGGAAATGAAACTTTGACGATAAGTTGTTTGCGAAGTGAAATTTGGCGAAAAGTAATTTGGCCAAACGGAAGGATACCCCTTCAACCACTCGCCGCTCACTCGGAGCGACTTTCTGGTGAAGGTCGCGGGAGGCGCCTGGATGCGTTGTAAAACTAACCTTTGTCCAGGAGAAGACGCTTTTGGGTTAAAAAGGAGCCCTCAAACATGTTTCAATAGTGTATAAACATTTCATGACTCGAATGTTGATTGTCATAAAACGCTACTTATAAATATATTCACGTATCGACTTTTAATTGCAAATATGACATACATAGTGACAACAAGCGTCTCATCATGCATTAAGCAAGTATTTATAGCTCCATCCTTAACCACGTGACAATAAGGATGAAGCATTCAAAGGCTACTATAAAGTTTTAAGAAGGCTTGAATTTATTCATACAGCATAGACGTTGTTAAATGCGGGTATAATAAGGTCCTAATCTTGAGGTATACTTCCACGTGTAGTTGTTTGTCTACACACGAGTGCCAATATCAGCTGGCGTTAAAAACACGTGAATGGAAGGATACAACCATACTCCATTTGAGATTCAAGAGCAGGCGCCTACAAGTGTTGTGCCATTCTATGTTGTAGGCAAATCGCACGATTTGTCTTCACAAACAATGGTCAATTCACAAACACCTCTCTCCTTATTAAGATAGGATCTTAAAACGATCCATTGCCAGCCTCAAGTTAAACTCTCTGGGCCCTTATGTATTTTATTTAATATGTACTCGTAGTTGTAAAAAGAGCGACTAAGCAACAAAAAAATATCGTCTGATGTGTTGTCTGTACTTTGCTATTTAATGTCATTTGAAATTAAATTAAATTAACGTACGTTTATGAATATCGTCTTTAGCTAGTCTTTATAGTTTGTGTTTTACAAATTAAATAAGTAGAGTTTGTGAATAGATTATCGTCTTTTGTAAAATAACGAATCACGGAATTTGCCAACAACAACAACACTAGGTACTTGATAAGTATGTTTGGTTTTAATCTAATGTTTATAAAATTTAAATCTTTTATCACCTCAGTCCCTCGCCGTACACAGGCGTCGTAAAACGTGCTTCTGTGATTGATTAATCGTAATGTGAGTAAATAAAATAATACATTACTTAGCAGGCAGTTCGTGTTCTTGTGCGTAGTATTGCCGTCAGTGGTCAGCCGCTTATTAAATAGAAGTAGTTTTTGTAGACAAGTTAACTTGGGATGTAACAGGTTACAAACAAAACATTTATCATGGCCGAAAACAAAAATTAAAAAAAAAATGTTTAATTTTGTCCTACATTCAAACCTCGCCAAAAGCTCACATTTTCTTGTCCTCATAATTATGTGAAAAAGATGTTTTAGCTATAGTGCGTGCTTTAATAAAGTAATAGCTTTTTCCCACAATTTATCTCTATGATATGGTGTTCTGAGTAAAGCAGCTGTAACATTGTAAACTTTTATCAAAATCCGTCTTTTGTTTTTCCCAACTCACGCAACATTCAAGAGTCTTCTGCATGAGAAATTTGTGTACCAAGTAAGTATGTTTTTTTCACTCGTATTGTAATTTTTTTTACAGAATGCTTCTTATACTAATATGGAGCGTTGTAGCCCTGGCGGCGTTGTACCTGTACTACCGCCAACTATACTCAAGCCTCCGGCAGCGTGGGCTCAAGCACTTCACGCCGGTCCCACTGCTGGGCAACATGGCCGGCATGACGCTGAGATACGAGCACTTCTCAGACTACCTGAAGAGGCTCTACGATAGCTTTCCCGAAGAGAGGTTCGTGATAAATGTCTAGTGTTTGTATTTAGGTATAGTAAAAACAATAAGTAAAATAAGTCTGCTGATAAATATGTAGTACATAATAATATATGTAGACTGAGTTGCACCACCTAACTTTGTCAGTAACTATAACGATAACCAGTGCTTTTTGTATGGAGTTTGACAGATTTTTTACGTTTGTAAGTCTAAGTAAGATGGTGCAACCCAGCCATAGTGTTTTTAAGTATTTACATCTTTATTTATACGCAGAGTCACGGACGTTTATCTCTTTTTGTTCATTTAAATTAACGTTCTATCTAGTATTTATTTATAAGTTTGTTTATTCGCTATCTAAGTACCTATCACAATACAACGTTGTTTTAGTTGTAAACCTACTCTATAAGTAAAAACAAATAAATAGCAGGTTACTATTCTGAGACAACTACCTACTACTTACTCGCCAAAAACCTAACCATTGAGGGCTTATTGAGCCCTGTAAGATAATACAGAAGGCAGAACATTTGATAGACATGTGCGTTATTAATTGACAATGCCTTTAAATGCGTGTCACGTGATCCATCTACCATCCAACTTAGGTATGTCTTTAGTTGTATTTCATACCACTTTTTGGCGGTCAAGCTGTTGATCTTATCCAAATGCATTCTATTCTACGGCTGTGGGAACGAGTGGTGGGAATAGTCCAGTTCATACAACTTTTTGCCCCGAACAATGATTTATTGAACATTGACCTTTACCTCGTTGTGCATAAAGGTTCGTCGGCAACTTCGAGTTCACCAACCCGCTGGTGGTTATCCGCGACCTGGAGCTGGCCAAGAAGGTGACCATCAAGGACTTCGAGCACTTCCTCGATCACCGCACCGTGGTGGACGACAAGCTTGATCCGTTTTGGGGAAGGAATCTGTTTTCATTGAAAGGTAAATTAGGCCTGGTTTCCACCAAAGCGGACCAAAGCAGAGAATCGTTTTTAATAACCAATCAGATTACATTATTTCCACTTTGGTGGAAACCGAGCCTTATTATACCTATCAAAGGCATTTAAAGAAGTTATTTTAACAATCAAATCCACTAAGCATAATCATCACGAGACATAATAATATAATGGTGGACTGGTAGAGAATGCTCGTTATTATTTTTCTAATTACAAACAAACGTTGAAGATGCGATTTTTTTTTTTTTCAATTTTGGTCATTAGCTACGTGTATGTATGTATTTTCGTGTCGTACTCTGACAGGTAGCCCTATTTCTCAATGTTGTGTCTTATTTAACCTTTAGACACTCCCTTTTTCAGTACAATTGAATATCAAAAATTAAAGGATTCTTTATACCCAACACCAGGTTATTGCGTTATTTTTTTTAAGCAGGACTAGGATTGTACATTTACTCATAAAATATGACATTTTGTGCCTAAATATTAATATTTACAGGTGACGAGTGGAGGAACATGCGCGCGACATTAAGCCCGGCGTTCACCAGCTCCAAGATCCGCCTGATGATTCCCTTCATGGTGGAGGTGGGGAACCAGATGATCAGCTGCCTCAAGAAGCAGATCCAGGAGTCTGGAAGTACGTAGTAGCATGCTACAGGAGGTATATATAGCTGTGCCTTAAATAAACAAACAAACAAACGAACGAACGAACGAACGAACGAACGAAAGAACGAACGAACTAACGAACAACCAAACAAACAAACAAACAATAAATAAAAGACATAAAGAAATAATAACAGTTATAAGGGAAAATAGATTTCTTTTTTGTAGAGTTCACATCGCACCAGCAAATCGCTAAATATCAGTGTGTAGATATCAGTGGGGTCAACTTTACTGCCTTTTAAAGATCTTATCTTCTTTATAATATTTTTATTATCTAGTTAATTATTTTTTGTAATCTAATAGATATAATCGTAATATAAAGATATTGTAGAGTGACTACGACATTTAATAATAGAATCGGCGCTAATATGATTAAAAAATCGTGTAGTTTAATTAATAATATTATATCACCTTCTCTATTCCAATGATAGGGATACAGAATACAATAGTGGCAAAGTAAGTTTGATTTATTTTTGGTTGGTGAAGACTACCAATAAGTACCTTATAATTATGACCAGTTAACATCCAATATGGCCAAGGTCACTGCGATCAGTTTGGACATGCCGGCACATAATGACATAATGGACGTCTTATTATGCGTAACATACCTTTAAATCTGTTTACGTTAGATGTAAAAAAATATTCATCACTATTTTTCAAAACCCATAACTCTACACATTGCCAGTGCCATTTTAGAAACGGCTATTAGGTTCGTTCGTTAGTTCGTTTCAGCCGAATGTTGTCAACTGTTGGAAAAAGGCCTTTCCTAAGGATTTCCACAAAGAACGGTCCTGCTCCGCCTGCATCGAGCCAGGCATCTCCCGCGACTTTCACCAGATCGTCGGTCCACCTAGTAGGAGGCCTGCCCACACTACGTCTTTCGGCTCGTGGTCGCCACTCGAGAACTTTTGTGCCCCAGTGGCCATTAGCTCTGCGAGCTATGTGATCCGCCCACTGCCACTTGATTTTAGCGATTCTGAGGGCTATATCAGTCACTTTGGTCTCTATTGGCTATTAGGTTAAAGTGATTCAAATCAAAACATTATAAGTAGGGACTTACACTACACTAGGGAGTGTAAAAGTTTTCTTTGCAAGCCAACGTAAATAACAAATGAAAAATAATTTGTTGAGGTTTTTCTCCCAACCCACAGCGAGTTCAATCGAAGTAGAAGCCAAAGACCTGACGTCGCGCTTCGCCAACGACGTGATCGCGTCGTGCGCCTTCGGGCTGAAGGTGGACTCGCAGGCGCAGCAGGACAACGAGTTCTACGAGATGGGCAAGGAGGCCTCCACCTTCAAGTTCAGACAGATATTAGTTTTCTTCGGGTACAATTCCTTCCCGAAGTTGATGTCGGTAAGTCAACATCATAGGGCCTCCACTAAAATTCGATCAGTATTCTTTATACATAGGTACCTCCATACTGCAATGCACTTTCCTGCACCGTAATGTAAACGCCTCGCCTTGTTGTTAATAGCGCGGCGAAAGGCGATACGGTGTTGATCCCTTTCCAGGTTGATAAGTGTGCTGTGACCTTTAATAGGCGAGTGCACGCGACGAGCGCTCGCTTATGTGCTGCGCAGGACCTTAAACCTTTATTAAAAGAGACAAATTGAAAAAACTTTTACAAACAAAAAGTCAGTGAACTCAGACCATATAAACAAACATTGGTATTCGTTAGTTTTTTTGGAATTTTAGCAGAAAGGCTATTTTTTTTTACTCTTCAATGCTTCCGCAGTCCGCACTCCCTACCACTGTAAAAGAAAATTTTGCACGGCTTGGTTTTCAACAAAAAACGAAAATGCATTTAGTTATTAACCTTTAGTTCAGTTTAACGTTTAGTCAACTTTAATGTGTAAGAAGGTTTTTATTAGTCTACTCTTGTTGGTTATCTAAATTAACAAATAAAGTATAACGTTTTGCTTTCAGAAACTGAAAATAACAGTGTTCAGCCACAGGACGATGGTGTTCTTCAGGTCGCTGATATCGGGCACTATGCGCGAGCGAGAGGACAAGAACATCGTGCGCCCGGACATGATCCATCTCTTGCTGGAAGCTAAGAAAGGTAACCCTCCACAGGTTGAGTGAAAGAGATCGCTGTTGGCAAAGAAGAGTGGCACTTTCAAATCATGTCATTGATATACCAACATTTTTCGTCTGCTTTGCCTATAGTCTGGTCCGGGAGCACGTAGAATTTTGTCCAATGACCCCAAGCTACCCATCCTTATCGCTCGCACGTAATTATGTTGCTGTCGCGCTCGCACACTCACAGCGGGCGCCCGTCCCACAGTCGCGACAGCAATATAATTACGCGCGAGCGATAAGGATGGGTAGCTTGGGGTCATTGGACAAAATTCTACGTGCTCCCGGACCAGACTATAGATAGGCAATGGTAGGATGATTAAAATTAAAATGGAGAATAAGCACTAAAGTGTAGGTACTGACTGATAAAATTGCCTCACCAATGTAAATAAAATAAATTGAGTGGCTTCTAATGCATATTATTAGTTTCAGATTGATCGATTAACTATTCAAGCACTTGATAGAAAGTGATACGAGTAAACATTTATTGTTATCAACATTCGATTTGTTAATTAACACTGTATTTATATGCTTCATTAATCTGTTAAAACTTTACACAAATTACCACCCAAGTAGCAATTGGTATTAATGGCAAAATCTTACTTGTCTTAACCCGATCTAAATTTACACTTAAGCTAAAACCAAATTAACTTAGAATAGAGATTTTTTTCTTTAAGACTTTATATTCTTCATCGAGCGCTACTTAAGCAAATTAAGAATACCCAAAACCAAGTTAAGTATTCTTTAGATAATTTGGTCTTAAGTTATTCTTAGCTTAAGTTAAAAAAAACTTATTTTACTAAATTAAGATTTTTTGTATGCTCACTTAATACTAAATAGTATAGATAAAGTATTATTTAAGTGTTGCAAAGTAAATAAAGTATTCGTAGATTTACTTAGGACTTTTTAAAGACCATTGTCTTAGAAATAGTTTTCTGAAGATTAAGTTAATTACTTTTTGACTAGAATTAGTACATTTTGAGAAAAAATACTCTTAACGGGACGATTTCGATAAAACAGGATCACGCACGCCTATTAATTCAAGGTAATGCNGGGCATGATCATAAAAAGGACTAAAATTAACTTAAAGACAGACAGAGAGTATTAAAATTTCGCTCTTATTATACATTTTTCTCATCGCAGGAAAGTTGACACACGATGACAAAGTGAAAGACACAGATGCTGGATTCGCGACAGTAGAGGAGTCAGCAGTGGGCAAGGCGAAGGCTAAAGTTGGTAAGAACTCATTTTTTTTCATCATCGTCATCTTTTTTTTCAACTCGTATGTCATCATATTTATTTATTTATCACTGTACTCTGACAAATCTCATGCCTTGCCAGCCGGTTCGTTCCTTCGTTTCAGCCAAATGATGTCCACTGCTGGACAAAAGCCTCCCCCATGGATTTCCATAACGGTCCTGCGCTGCCCGCATCCAGGTATTTTCCGGTTGCAAATACAAATTGCAGTCGTGGTCCATTATAGGTGGATTCGACCAAACAAGAGTAGACCAAACAAGATAAACTTGTAATTTTGACATATTTCCCATAGTGACAATGTGCCTGTTATACCAGGAGTTATTCTCAAATAAAAATGCATAATCTATCGTGATTTTAAAACTTACACACGTAGTAAAGATGAATATGTAGTGTTAGTCACTAGTGTTATTAAAATATACACCTACGTAGAATTAGTTAGTTGTGTTGTTTATAATAGGAAGTAATCTTTGGAATTACCGAACCGATGATTAATTTGTCACCAGTAACAAGCTAGATTGTTCCTGACCCAATCCACTCGGGCAGAAGCTATCAATAATAGTCCAGTCAAATTAGACATGAAGAAAACACTTTTTTGACTCTTCGGATCATCGAATCTCAGAAACGCTGACTCTTAGGAGAAAGTGTAATTATAGACAATTTTGATAGATAATTGTATGGTCTTAAACCTTGTCATACATATTTTTGTAATAAAACTTACCGTTTGGCTGAAAATCTCAAAAACCCGTATTTTTTAAGTTTGACCTTGAATTTTTTTTTTTAGCACATGTCGAATCGATGGGGACTTTTCACAGTTAATTCATAATGGTGCTCCGTACATTCGTACCAATTTTCAGCTGTATGCGAATTATTGCAGGGTTCATGTCTAATTTGACTGGACTATAATACCATTATTTCGTCCCAGACTGGTCTCAAGACGACCTCATAGCTCAGACCATGGTCTTCCTCATCGGAGGCTTCGAGACCGTGTCCTCGAGCATGGCCTTCGCGCTTCACGAGCTGGCCATCAACCCAGATATCCAAGAGCGACTGGTGAAGGAAATTAAGGAGTACAATGCCAAGAACGGAGGGAAACTCGACTTCAACGATCTGCAGAAGATGCCCTATATGGATATGGTGGTGTCAGGTCTGTATCAAAATATTTTAATGATTTCCTTCTTAAGTACAGTCGCGGAATGAAAAGGTTCGTCACCTTAATGTCTGTTTTCGCTTGCAGTAGGTACTGTAAGAGTCAAACCTGCCAACATAACCGTGCAAGAAACAGTGCGAATAAGGTTTTGCTTGTTTATTTTTCTATTATCAGTGCAATGTTACAAAATGTAGTTTTTTTATTTAATAGATAATGGCAGGTTGAACCAACAAGAAGGTTTTAGTTTATCAATCATAATAATCTTCTTGACAAGTTAAATCGTCAAACAACTTTGATCTGAATAATTTTGAACTTTACTGACGAACAGTTAAAGATTATTTTCTCTAACTCGAGATTATTCTGTAACATAGTTTCAAAAGGTAATTTATGTGCTCGCGATTCGTTGAAGGAATCAATTTGAAAACTGACGAACCTTTTCATTCCGTGACTGTACATACTCGACTCGTACAATGGTAACATTATAAACATTTGTAATACAGTAACTACACTTTACCTTAAATTTTTTATTTAATAAAAAAAAAGGAAAATGAAGCTCAAACAAATCATTATAGTAATTCCAGATTTGAAATTAATTATTTCTAAACGGCCGCGCACGTTACAGTCGGATTCCTTGACAGCGCGATACTGGCCACCAAGAAAATGCGTACTTTTTTCATTTAGTTTTCGCTTTTCTGTTGTTTTTCTTTTGACACGACTAGACTGTCGAATTTTCGCGACATGATTTTATTATTTGTTGAAAATAATTTAATTCGAGATAATGAATGATTTTTCTTCAGAGCTGATGAGGATGTGGGGACCCGGCTTCATGGTGGACCGGATCTGCATCAAGGACTACAACTTGGGGAAACCTAACAAAAACTCCACTGATGATTATATCGTAAGTGTTTATTAGGTATCTACTTACATACGTAGAAATTTTATAAATACTTATTTTATTCCAAAATGCTTGACGGTTGTCTAGTTAAGGGCAAAGAAAGACTTTTTAGGCTGAGTTGCACCACTTAACTTTGACGTAACTTTAACGATAACCGGTGTTTTTTTATGGAGTTTGACAGATTTTTGACGTTTGTCAAAGTCAAAGTAAGATGGTGCAATCCAGCCTTAGCCTAGGTGCAGACCACCGACTTGTAGTTGGCCGATAGTTGGACCCAATTCTAATTTGTATGAAGAATCGGCCGATTCCAAATCGGTGTAATGTGCGCACTTTCATACATCTCCGTACTGATCAACAACCCGGTCCAACTAATTGGCCAACTTAAAATCAATAGTCTGCGCCTAGGCTTAAAGTTTTCTCTTAAACAGGTTGTAAATAATTTTCCATTATCAGATTCGCCGCGGCGAAGGCCTAGTGATCCCAGTGTGGGCCCTGCACCGCAGTCCGGAGTTCTACCCGGAACCGGACAAGTTTGACCCGGAGCGGTTCTCCGATGAAAACAAGAACAACATCAAGTCCTTCACGTACCTACCTTTCGGAATTGGACCCAGAAACTGTATTGGTAACGATGTATTCTTCTACATTATAATTAACGCTTCTGACATAAAAACTCTGTAAGAGAGATACAGTGATTTGACGTGCTTTCTGACGCCTGAATTTTCATAATTTCAGGGTGGTTCAAGCACGGTAATAATATCATACAGTATTGTAACTTCTTATAAACAGACGAAACGAGAACTTTCTTTTGAAATTCAAATCTCGGTATGCGCTTATTGGTATGCAAAAGTCGGGGGTGTCGCGAATGCGAATGTGCCGAATGGACGTCGGTGGCCAAGTGTTAAAAATGACAAAACTGATTGAATTTGACTGACCGTCATTTACGGTTAAATTGGTCAAAAATTAGTCAAATCGACATTTTCAGTCAGTTTGATTTGAAATGAAAATTATATTTTATTAAACCAGCTTTTGCCCACGACTTCGCCCGCCCGAAATTAACGTAACAGATCATTATGATTATTAAAGTTTCAAAATTATTTAAGTAGATTTTACTAAATTAAATCTACTAGTTAATCACAAAACAACACACATTTTTAACCTATTCCATTCACAAAGTATTTTGTTTGTCTAACTAAATAAAAAAATACAATCACAAAACTATACAGGGTGTTAGGTAAATGGGTATATGAGCCGACACTAGCCCATGCTAACATGCGCATTATAAATAATATGGTGAAGTCAGAAAATTGATATCTTCGTTTTAATTATTTTAATTTTCATACAAATCGGATTTTATAAAATTTATTTTGTATGAAAATTTAAAAAATTAAAATGATGATATCAAATTTTTACTTCACCATACCATTTATATGCCCATGTTAACATGGGCTAGTGTCGGCTCATATACCCATTTACCTAACACCCTGTATAGAAATTCTAAGTAGGCAGATGTAATTAAACTGGGTACTTTAGGTGGGCAGCCCTATCGCATGTTGTCATACTGTGACGTACCGCGCGACTGTTGACATTTATTTCAAAAATATGGCCGAGTTGGAATACTGTATAGATAGTATTACCGTGGTTCAAGTCTACAGTGTTTTTTTTTTTTTCAGTAAAAAAGTTTAGTTGAGAATCGAACTCAATACCCCAAATAAAAAACTCCAAACTCTAATTACGATACGATACACACAAGACAGCAATGTTAGTTCACAAAGTCTGACTCCAAGTGACATCACTATCATCTAGTCATGGTCTCCTCGAGAAACATGACTTCTTTATTTTACTAAAGACAAACAAGATTTGGTCTACTCCATGCTGACCTTGGTCTGATCAGAAGCTTGTTGTTTGATTCTTAATATTAATGACTCCAATGTTGACAAAGTTAAAAAAAGATTGTCAATAATGTGTTGGCGACAGATATGGTAACACCGGTGCTAGGCTATGATCTTGGACTCTTTTGTATATGGTATATGTCTTTTGTATGGTCTATGGTAGTTTTGTGTTACTTGCTTTAGTTTACGTGATCTAGAATACAGTTTTGTTTAAAGTTAAAAGCATTTCATTTTTGTATAGTCTGGTCTCTGAGCACATAGAATTTTGTCCAAAGACCCCAAGCTACCCATCCTTATCGCTCGCGCGTAATTATATTGCTGTCGCGACTGTGCGACGGGCGCCCGCAGTGAGTGTGCGAGCGCAACAGCAACATAATAACGCGCGAGCGATAAGGATGGGTAGCTTGGGGTCTTTGGACAAAATTCTACGTGCTCAGAGACCAGGCTTTAGCTAACAATATGTTTGTCCCCCAGGGTCCAGGTTCGCGCTGTGCGAGATCAAAGCCATGCTGTACCAGCTGCTCCTCCACTTCGAGTTAACACCAAGCGCACGCACATGCGCTCCCATCCGCCTGTGCAACAGTTCATTCAATCTTCGGGCCAAGGGCGGCCACTGGATGACGTTCAAGGTCCGCGAGTAAACCTTTCTTGATCTCTGTTCGGACCCAAGCCACACGAGCGTGAGCTTCGTTAAGAGAATGATGTGCACGGTCGTGATATTCAGGGTAGGTGTGATCATAAACTTAGAAGGAGTGATGGGCGTGTCGGCTTGGTTGTTAGGAGTATATTTGATTGACTGACTGTGTTTTAGCTTGGTCATTGACCAAGCCAAAATATTATGATTATTGGACAATTGTCCAATAATCATGATATTTTGGCTAGATACCGTACTTGAAGAAACGAGTGGTAGTTTTTACGACAGATACTTGATGATTTTTGAAATTTTTGTAAGATTATGACGCACCAGTAATTTCCACTAGGTTTCAAAATTATACGCTCTTATTCAGATATTGAATCACCCTGATTCATATCCGACTGATTTCTTTATCAAATTCTTTGTGATTTTCTTGAAATAATAGCAAACAAACAATGATTCATTTTAATAATGTAATTACCTACCAATTTATTCCACCTGACAAGCATTGCAACAGGAAACTAAAACATTACGTCATCATCACGTTTGTGCGAGTTAGGTAATGACACGTCTTAGGTTGAGTTGCACCATTCTTACTTTAACTTTATTAAACGTCAAAAATTTGTCAAACTCTATACAATAATTATCGTTATAGTTACGGTCAAAGTTAGGTGGTACAACCCAGCCTTAGTAAATCAAGGAGCCTTTAAGATTGTGTGTGCTTTTTTTACCATAACATATTCCTACATTAAAGTACAAATTACTATTTACAGTCATACACTTCTTGTATTCAAAATTAATTAAATTAAATAAACAAAATTGTAAACATTAAATGATTAAACTAACTTAAAATAAATTAAACACTAACCTTAATCTAAAATATAATACTTACACACTAATATAATTATTAAAGCTAATTTTTGCATTTGTTTTGAATCATCGATATCGGTATCGACAACATTATCGACACGGGTAAGCGCTAAGCACTCGTCACACGGGGCGGATAACAAATATACCTACTTCACGAACCTGCGGCCGCGCAGCCCGCCTACACTACGCGGAAATTAGCCGAGTCAAGTCAAAAAGTGGGGATGAAATTCATTCATTTTTCATCCCCACCCCACTGTTTTTTTGACTTGACTTGGCTAATTTCCGGTGTAAAGGCCAGTGGAACTCCGCAACTCGTTCGAGACACGCACGCGCCGCTCGATTTCAGTAGCACCGTTCGCGATCAGTCTAGTATTTTTGTACGCTCGTCATTTGTCTACTCCTTCTGTATTTAAACTTTCAACGTATGTATTGGAATTGTGACTGTTTACCTGCTCGCTGTGTGGTGAATAAATGCAGTGAAATTGATATCGGATTTCTTTTCGTACACATGTACCTGGAGACACATCTACCAAGTACGTACCCTATAGGTACTTACTTACTAATAACATAGGATTTTGTTCATTTGTGTTTAAATTCAAGTTTGATAAAACGTTACGTGTAAATAAGTAGGAGTTCATTAGATTCTTAAGATATTATTATTGAGATAATTAAAATACGATAGTTTTTAATGTCATAGTGTAACAAATACTTAGCTTACATAAATAAATATCTAAATTAGATAAATCGGAGCAATTTAAGTTATAGTAAATTAGTTTTAAGGCTTTGAATAAAACTTTAGACTTTTAAATTAAAAATATTTTTATACCAAGCATAGCTATAAAACTTAACTAACTATTCCTTTGCTAATCCAAAACAAAATAAACTGATTTTAATGATTTTATTTTGATTCTATTCTATATTGCCTTCCTTTGCCTTTATCAACCAAAGATCCTTCCCTAAAAAACTCCTAAAATCCTTACATAAAATCCGCGCCATAAAGTCTCCGCTCCGAAATCCCAAATTCCTGGTTCATTAAGCAGTCGTTCCGTTCGTTCGTTCATTCGTTCATTACGACGCAGGATTAAAAGATACAAAAAGGTGAAAAATTACGGAACGCATTGACGGAGATTACGGCGGATCACCTCCGCGTCATTTATCAACTTCATCGGAGGAGCTGCGCCGCCTGCCGCAAGTCATAGGCGCTTACTTTTAAAGAAAAGCAATTGAAAATGTGAAAGAAAATTGCGTCCACTGCTGGACAAAGGATGTCCTCCCAATGATTTCCACATCGCACGGTTGGTAACGGCCTGCATCCAGCGCCTTCTTGCAATATACTAATAATAATAATAATAGTGGCAAAGTATGTCAGCTTTATTTTTGCATGGTAAAGACTACTAATATTACGACCAGTTACGATCCAATGTTAGGGCCAAGGTTACTGCGGCCAGTTTGGACAATAACGTAATGACATAATGAACGCCGTTTATTTTGCGTAACATACCTTTAAATCTGTTTACGTTGGAAATAAAACCTTATAACTCTACACAATGCCAGTGATCTTAGAAACGGCTATTAGGTTCGTTCGTTTCAGCCGAATGACGTCCACCGCTGGACAAAGGTCTCCCCCAAGGATTTCCACAAAGACCGGTCCTGCGCCGCCCGCATCCAGATACTTGCCGCGACCTTCACCAGATCGTTAGTCCACCAAGTGGGAGACATGCCTACTTACATGTTCTGCTGGTCCGTGGTTGTCAGTCAAAAGCCGAACCACTGCTTCTGACGTTACCATAGTCACAGAATAAAAAGAACCTTAAGTACTTAGGCTGAGTTGCACCATCTTAATTTAACTTTGACAAACGTCAAAAATCTGTCAAACTCCATACAAAAAGCACCGATTATTGTTAATGTTGCGGTTAAAATGAGGTGGTGCAACTCAGCCTTAAAAATACTTAAATTCCAATCAATTCTATTAGCAAACTTACCTACCTGTGAAATTGCCGCGAAACAAACTTGGATTAAGTAGAATTGGTTAAGATTTGACGATTTCAATTCATTTCTCGAGGCATTTTGATTGAATATCTAGAGTTTAAAATCCTTACTAATATGGCATAAATAATAAAATGAAGATGAGGATTCAAGTATTTTAGACCACGCACTGGATCCGATCCCAATGATGCAAGAATGGGGGGTAAATGTGATACTTAATGTTCGAGGAGACATTCTAGCACGAAAAAAATTTCAAAGCTTTTTAATCAATTACACGAGTATTTTACAAGTGAACGACTTTGAGTTATCTATCCTTGATTGTTTTGTTTTTTAACAACTTGTTAGATTTTCGTTTGACGTAAAAAATATTGGCTTAATCATCTTGATTCAGTAAGATAAGAAGATAAGAAGCGTGAGTTGCCAGAATACAGGTTATAAGTTCTTACAAAAAATGTTAGTACAAGTATTCAACCTGCACGCAGTTGTGCAAATACATTTTGTCAAGTGGTAAGTCAGCAGGTTCGCTCTTTATTTACATTACATTCAATTACATCATTGCATTACTTTAGTCAATTTATTATTTACATTAACATTGATATATTTTTATAATCCATAAATTCATTCACGCTGTAAAACAGTACTTATTTAGCCATTCAGTCAATTTTATGTTAAATAGCTTGTAATCCAAAGTTTTTATATTGTCTGGAAGGTTGTTAAACAATGTGCTACACATATTTAATATTTTTTTTCTATAAATGTAAGTGGAAAGTAAGATGTATAGAAATTAATATAGTAGGTTTCTGTATACAGATTCTGTATACCTACTGCATTACTTATGACTTATGACTAACTTTTGACTTATGACTTATGCATTTAATTTCTCTGCATTACAGATGAAAAATCTCGAAATATAGAATTTCATTTAATTATTTCAGTCAAGAGTCACAATTTTAGGTGTAAGTACGTCAAATAAGTAGAGATTCCGTTTTTTGCATTGTAGACTTATGACCGTTTTCACCATCAATCCGTAATTTTTAAGTGATTTATGGTAACACAACAGGAATTTGTTTTCATAGGGGTCACTTAAAAATTAGGGATTGATGGTGAAAACGGGCATTAGTTACTTGTTATTTTAAGAACCAAGCCCTTATCTGAGTGCACCACAGACCGTCCACGCAGTCTTACTCATCGAGTAGGCAGCTGTAACCTATTACGAGATGAAATAACTTTAGATCAGCTCAAATTGGTTTACTTTGCACTTATTGAATCTAAACTCCGGTATAGTATTATGTTCTGGGGAAATAGTTATAAATATAATATTACAGCAGCATTCGTGTTACAGAAGCGAGCTATCCGCACCATGAAACGCATTCCTCAAATAGTCATGTAAACCACATTTTGCAACGTTAGGTATTTTAACTGTCCCGTCATTGTATATTTTTACCTTGTCAACCTATTTAATAAAACACTTGTACAAGTTTTGAGTCAAATGAAGACAGAACACAGAGAGAACTCACACGCAAAAAAACGAACAAATTGCCATAGTAACTAAATTAAATTTCGCTAGTCACTATGTAAGATACCAAGCAATTAAGTTATTTAATGCCTTGCCAGTAGAGTTTAAAACTATTTATAATTTTAATAAATTTAGAGATAAGCTTAAGTCTTTGTTATTGTAGAAATGTTATTATTGTATTGAGGATTATTTTTAAATGATAAAAAGTATATCATTTTGTTATATGTTGTGTTGTATAATTTGTGATTTCATATTGGTTGATGTTTTTTAATTTTTCTTGTTTTTTGTAATATTTCCAATACGATAATGTTATTGTTTATGGAATAAATGACTATGACTATACTTAGTTGTACTCGCAAAAGATCCTTCCGCGTATGTTATCAAAAAATAATTCAAATATAGATAATGTGGCTGATATCGACTATATGAAGTGTTGTCAAACACTAGTGCTGTGAAGTTTGGTTTATTATGCGCTCTGTGTATACTCAGTGATAATTAAACACGTTATTAGAGGTTAAAAGGTTGGTAAACAAATACGCACTTGTTATGATTATGTAAATGTATTGAGAACTATTCACAGAGCCACATTTTCAGCTCAATCTCAATCCTTCTTAAATTTTATAAAAATTTATGGCTTTTAAATAATGTTTGCCAGGGGGGACAACAGTCCTCAAATTATTGATTAAAAATCCAGTCTTGTTGTCTCCCCTAGCCAGGGGGGACAACAGTATTTCGAAATCCTGTTGGCTCCCCCAGGGGGACCAAGCAGGGGGGACAACAGGACTTCACCAAAAGCACTTTGAGGTCAGTTCAGAGCATGCTCTGAGAAAAAATATTGGATTTTTAAAAGAGATAAATTGCATCATTTAGTTACATTTTCCTCACTCAGATCTTCCTTACTATATTTCAGGATAACCGAAGATGTTGCTCCTAATATGGGTGACAGTCCTCATTGCTTCCCTGGTGCTATACCTGCGAGATCTACAGGCGCGCTTGGTGCGGCGCCAGCTGAGTCAGCTGCCAGTGGTACCACTTCTGGGACACATGAGCGGCGTGGTGCTTAGGAAGGAACACGTCACTGCCGCCCTGCGGAGGAGTTACCAAGCCTTCCCTCAGGATAAGTGAGTTGGGGGACCATAATATGGGTGACAGTGCTGATCGCTTCCCTTGTGCTAAACATGGGCGGCGTGGTGCTTAGGAAGGAAGTAGGAACACGTCACTGCTGCCTTAGAGAGGAGCTACCAAGCATTTCCACGGGACCTTACAGAGGAGCTACCAAGCATTTCCACGGGACAGGTGAGTTGATGGACCATATGGGTGACGGTGCTGATCGCTTTCCTAGTGATATACCTGCAAGAACCGCACCAAGCCCCCCCCCCTCTAAAAACTAAACTGTTGGCTTGAAAAATCTGAAAAAATTCATGATTATAGTGTTTTTTATGAACTTTCAAGGACAACTATAGCGGTTAAGATAGATCAGTTAGTTTAAGAGTAATTGTCGTTTGACTCATGTATTATAAAATTTCTTAACCAGTAAAAATTCCTTAGAAGAAAATATATGAAAAGTGACTTTAGATGAAGTAATTGCTTGCTTCTGAAATATATTGTGGTAACGACGGACAACTACGGAACCCTACACTGCGCGTGGCACGACACGCACTTGGCCAATTTTTTATTCATATTGTGCTTTACTCAATGTTTCAGAATCGTGGGTCACTACGAGTTCCTCAACCCCATGTTGTTGGTGCGAGACCCCGAACTGCTGAAGTGCATCGCTGTGAAAGACTTCGAGTACTTCGTGGATCGACGGGCTTTTGGAGACCCCGACGACCCAGTCTTTGGGAGAAATTTGTTGCTTTTGAAAGGTTACATTAAATTTATTTATGTAATTTCCCTGTCCTGAATTTTCGTTACCATAAAAGTTTGGATTGCTTTATGCTCTTGATATTCAATAGAAGCGCCAATTGCAAAATCAGTAGCAAAACTTCCAAGAGACTCTAAAGTTGACAAGAAAATAATCTAAGGCTGAGTTGTACCACCTTATTTTAACCGTAACAATAACTGGTGCTTTTTGTATGGAGTTTGACAGATTTTTGACATTTCTCAAAGTTAAAGTAAGATGGTGTAACTCAGCCTTAGACCGTAACTGTGTCGGTATTTCTTCTCTTCAACTAGGACTAAATAAAATTGTTAATTTTACAAAATTCAGGCGACGAATGGAAAGCGATGAGATCGACTCTCAGTCCAGCTTTCACCAGCTCCAAGATAAAGCTGATGGTCCCTTTCATGGTGGATGTTGCGGTCAAAATGAATGAAGAGCTTACGAGAAGAATTGAAGACACTCAAGGTAATAAATTCCTTAATATACAGGGTGTTAGGTAAATGGGTATATGAGCCGACACTAGCCCATGTTAACATGATCATATAAATGGTATGGTGAAGTCAGAAAATTGATATCTTCATTTCAATTATTTTAATTTTCATACAAATCGGATTTTATAAAATTTATTTTGTATGAAAATTAAAAAAAATTAAATGATATACCCATTTACCTAACACCCTGTATACTTACTTTGTAAGGAAATTAAAGCAACAGAAACTCACATTATTGGAGATCTTGATTTCCACTATAGGGTTTAGAAGGTATACGACTTTTATTTTAAAATTCTTATAATTTTTCAAACAGACTTCTAATCTGACATAGTTTAACCACAAATCACTACATAGTATAGAACAAAATCGCTTTCCGCTATCGGTCCCTATGTATGCTTAGATCTTTAAAACTATGCAATAGATTTTGATGCGGTTTTTTTAATTAGATAAGAGTGATTGAAGAGGAAGGTTTATATTGTATACTTAGCACCCGTGCGAAGCCGGGGCGGGTCACTAGTAAATTATATGTTACTGTCAAACAGTGAATGAGAGCTTAGCTCACTCTGCGTGTCATAATATAATTCAAAAGGCTGCGAAATAGACATGTTGACACCACAGTCAATTGACGTACTTTTTAAAACTGTCAAAACGAAACTCTCCCATAGATTTTTTATGGCACTACAAGCAAGTGACGTCACTATTTTGTCAACCCAATTAAACTACTTTTTTCAATTAAAAAAATCGAAATTTACAGGTAATTTAAAATAAATTAGGTTTTTAAGACCAGAATGAAGAGTCTTTTTAAAACAGTTGTGGTTTCGAATTATTGGGGTATGGTGTCAAACTGTCTATTGAGTTATTTATTTTATTCTTTAAACTACAGAAGGCTACATCGACATCGACATCAAGGAACTGACGTCCCGCTTCGCCAATGACGTCATCGCGACGTGCGCCTTCGGGCTGCGCGTCAACTCCATGTCCATGGACAACGAGTTCTACAAGAAGGCCCGTGACGTCACCAGCTTCACCTTCTCGAGGTTCATGAAGGTTATCGGGTTTAGGTCTTTGCCAAACCTAATGAAGGTAGGTTTACACTTAATTGTAATCAATGAGGGCTATCGTTTTTATACTTAACAGTTGGCACCCCTGGCGATGGACAGGACCTTACTCTACAGTGGCACCATCTTGATGAGTGCAAATGCGATGGTCCTCCTACCACTTTAGCGCTCACCAGTTGGGGCCACTGTCTTCGCTACTAGCAAGTGACAGGACCTTACTCTACAGTGGCGCCATCCTGATGAGTGCAAATGCGATGGTCCTTCTACCACTTTAGCGCTCACCAGTCAGTGCCACTGTCTTCGCTACTAGCAAGTGACAGGACCTTACTCTACCAGTGGCGCTAACTGGTGAGCGCTAAAACGTTAGCCCTCATTGAATGATTGAAAACGATTTACTCCTACAGAGGCATTACAATAGGCCTTAATAATCCCATTTTGCAGAAAATTTATTTACATACTTAAGCATTTCAATAACCAAATAAACTCCCCACAAGTCCCAAGTTCATTAAATTACTTCAAACTAGATCTAAAATTGAGTTAGTTTTCAATTTGCTGTATAATTAGAAATTTAGTAGCTTCGAAATTAATAAACCGAGTTTTCAGACTGAAGACGTTATAATACTTTTCATCACACAAAATCCAGCTCTTCGATCTCTTATAAAAAGTAAAAATTTAATTGACTAGGTATTTTGGTGACTAAACGTCTTACGAAATGGCAGGTATAGTCCCTGGAGTACTTAATATTATTCTGTGTCCCTGGCGAACTTTAAGCCAACATAAACCACTCACTTGATTTTAGTAATTCTGCGAGCTATGTCGCAGAATCACTAAAAAGTATAGGTTCTCCTGCGGATCTCCTCATTTCAGATTCGATCACGCTAATTCTGATTCGATTCTAAAATCAAGTGGCAGTGGGCGGGGTACATAGCTCGTAGAGACGATGGCCGTTGGGGCAGAAAAGTTCTCGAGTGGCGACCACGGGCTGGAAGACGTAGCGTGGGCAGGCCTCCTACTAGGTGGACCGACGATCTGGTGAAGGTCGCGGGAAGAGCCTGGTTACGGGCAGCATGGTGGAAAACGAACGAAACAGATGAGTGGTTTCGTTCGTTCGTTCGTTTCAGCCACATGACGTCCACTGCTGGACAAAGGCCTCCCCCAAGGATCTGTTTGGCTCCCCCATTAAATCGGCTCCAATCAGCATGTCGATGGGAGCAGGTCGGTCAAAGGTGGGATCTGCGAGCTGTATATGTTTAGGAATTTTTAGCATATGGCCGGGTTCCCACTATGCCGGACCGGCAGATCTCCCGGTCCGGTAAAATCGCCGGAAGGCCTAGCGGCGGTACAAATTGTATGAAGCTGTTCACATTATCCCGGATCCGGCTTTTTCGCCGAGCCCGGCATTTTTACCGAGCGTTTTGTCGCTACAAAATGCCGGCAAAATCACCGGACCGGAGTAATGTGAACGAGTTGCGGCCCACCCCGCCGCGCCCGTGCTTCCCGCCCCGCCCCGCCCGTGCTCCCCGCACTTCATTCGACTCGGATTTCGGATCCGGTGATCCGGTGTAATGTGAACACCCTTGTCCGGTGTCGGGTTTTCGGCAGAAATGCCGGTCCGGCATAGTGGGAACCCAGCCTTAGGCAGCTCGCTTGTTAGCTCGTTTAGTACAGATCTGTTTATGATTACAGTTTCTGAAAGTGTCGCTACTGCCGGCTTCCCTCGCTGAGTTCTTCAGCACCGTGGTCCTCGGCACCATACGCCAGCGGGAGAGGCACAGCATCGTCAGGAACGACATGATTCACCTCCTCATGGAAGCGAAGAAGGGTAAGGTCCAAAAAATCATTGTTTTTATGCAGGCATTTGACCGCAATTGCATTTATGTTGACAATGTAACTCAAAATGGTGGAGGAGGTCTATTATATAAAAATAAACTTGCCGTCCCAAATTTCAGACTGCATAAGATTGGGAATTCATTTATGGGGAAATGTATTAAATTATTTAATAAATTACCACAAACTGTTGTAGAACTACCCATTCATAAATTCAAAGCACGTATTAAAAGTACCTTAATGAAAAAGGGCTACTATAAAGTCGATGATTATTTAAAAGATAAAAATGTTTGGGATGCGTAACTGCCTAGCTCGCATAAATATTTATAACTATGTATTTTGAAAACCTGTAAACCTTTGAAAAAGAGGCTGACAAAATAGTGTCTGAGTTTCTTGCGCTGCTTCTTCTCAGCACTGGCCCATTTATTGTCCTGAAGCAGTGGTAGGGTTAATACTGGGACGTGTAAAAGTGCTTTTTTAAAGCCTACTTACAGAAATAAATGAGTTTTACTGAGTTTTATAACAAGGCCGGGCCAACAGTTTTTCCAGATGAGCAAAATTTCTTAGACTTGGGGTGCCTGGGTATGGCTAGCCTTGGTTTGTAACTACCAAATTATGAAAACGAAGTTTAGTTAATCTGAAATAATTGCTAAATAAAGTCTTAGGTAATACACTTGGTCAGACCGGCTTTATGGGTACTAATTAAAATAAAATTGATTTCACAGGGCGACTGGTTTATGACAATAATGTAACTGAAACTGCTGCTGGATATGCAAGTGTTGTGGATTCAGCTGTTACAAAGAAACATGCAGTAACTGGTAAGAAACAAATGAATCTATACTTTATTTTGTTCTATAGGTTTAACGCTTACCTAACTCAGTCAATGCTTGTTTAATATACCACGCAATTTCGTATAGGTACCCATTCTTATAAGATACACCATACAAGAATGCGTGGTAAATTCAGTGAACTGCTCCTGAATCAAATGTACCTAGTACTACTGCTATTTCTATTTATTTATATTAACCGGCAGACAGTGGTGACTGAGTTTGTTGCGGCGCTTCTTCTCAGCACTTGCCAAATGTTGGTTTCGAAGCGCTGGTAGGGTAAAAAGATTATGAGACATGTAGAGGCTCCTTAAGAGCAAAATATTTGACGATTTGTAAGAAATATTTAATAGTCTATACAAATAAAGAAATTTTGACTTTGACTTTGACTTTAAGGTATGGGAACAGCACGAGAGGGTGCTTTTGAGATGTCAAACGTCTGTGTGACTTCAGGATCTTCTTCGGATTTGTATGCTCTGTGACGTCATAATGTGTCAATGTCATCCCTTCCGTGCTGCTCCCATACTTCAGCCACTCACTGTCAAGAGTTAGACCACAGAATAATAATAAGTACTACGTACAGAAGTTTTACTTCGCGAAGGTATTTAAAAAAATGTATGCTCAATGTCATTAACAATATGGTGTAATTTAGCCTGTCTCAAGAGTCAAGCACCATTTTGTTGACAAACGTCAGTGATCGGCACTGCGCCGAAGCTATAGGGCTGACTTCGGTAAAATGATGTGACGTGAGGTGCCAAACTGCGGAAAATGGCGCACTATGGAGCGAAATTGAGATTTATGGACATAGCGATTTTTTTCACAATTTCTGTTTGAAAAAAATACCTATCGATAGGTTACGTTATTCTGATGAATAAATGCTTCACAAGTTTTTCTCTAAAACCAATAGTTTGACTGGAAAAAAATATTTTCCATTTTCGTTGTATGGAAAGAAACATAAAGTGGTCGATTTCGACTAAGCCTTGACAGATCTTGCTTTGAAACTACTTAAGCCTTGTTCTATGGCTTGTTGACTGTAATCCTACTCTATCAGCGCGCATCCAAAGTTGCCCGTTCACAAGTTATGAGGTTCTGAAAAATTAAAAAAAAGTAAGTAAAAGTGACTTTTTTTGGAATATCTTTTAAGATTTAACAAAAATATAAAGATTTTATACGTTAATAATGTAAATCTAAGATAATAACAAGAAGTTTATTTTGATAAAGTTGCATTTGTGTGTGGAGCAACTTGGTGTTCACCCAAACACAATGTTAAGCATCAATATGTTTCACTTGCATTGTTTTGTTGTCAGTGATGATATAAGTAGTTGTGTTATTCATCTTAATATTTTGATAATGTGGTTATGGGAATGGTTTGAAAATAATAATAATAATGTATATGATGTACTTGTTGATCATACACCAGTGGACATTGTCATGAAGCTGGGCGGACATTGTCATTCTGCGTGAGATCTCCTGATATCTGTGTGAGGAGAACATGTGGCATGACATGACAAGCTATGTGGAATGGCCTAATCTGTGTGGGTTTAAAGTGAAAATGTTCAAAGAACCCTAACTAATCCCATAAATCATTAAGGATGATGACGATGGTGTATAGATGTACTGTATGATGATTTCTTATGTCAGCAGAGCCGAAAGTAGTCAGCGTGCAGAGGTGCGTGAAGTGCAGCGCGCCTAGCGGCGCCAGCTGCAGGTGCCCGCGCGTGGGCGGCGGTGGCGGCTCAAGCGCGGCGGGCCGCAGCGGCGCGACAGCCAGCTCGGTGCAGTGCGGCGTGGCGCGCGGCGCGGTCGGCATGCGGCTGCTCCTGCCGCGTGTCCACCGGGTGCCACCAGCTGTGTGTAACATGTTATGACAAGCTATGTGAGACATGTCATGACAAGCTATGTGGGATGTCTGTGTGACATCAGGATATGTGAAGATGCCGTGCCTTGTGTGGGAGACATCATGAACTATTGACATGTGGTATTTTATTTTATTTATTTATTAGGTCTACCAACATTGTTACATTACAACATGTACACTTAAAAATTACAATTATGAACAAAGTTACAATGCAACAACAATTATAGGCTGACACAACAATATTTATATTTAACTATATATGTATTGTCATGAAACTATGTGGATATTGTCTTTCTGTGTGGGATGTCTGTTTGACATCATGAACTATGTCTGGCGCGGTTAGCGCTGGTGCTTCGCGCAGCAGCGCGGTCAGCGCGGGCGTTTCGGGTAGCAGCGCGGTCAGCGCGGGCGTTCCAGGCAGCAGCGCGGTCAGCGCGGGCGTTCCAGGCAGCAGCGCGGTCAGCGCGGGCGTTCCAGGCAGCAGCGCGGTCAGCGCGGGCGCTCCAGGCAGCAGCGCGGTCAGCGCTGGTACTTCGCGCAGCAGCGCGTTCAGCGCGGGCGCTTCGGGCAGCAGCGCGTTCAGCGCGCGCTCTTCGGGCAGCAGCGCGGTCAGCGCGGGCGCTCCAGGCAGCAGTGCGGTCAGCGCTGGTGCTTCGCGCAGCAGCGCGTTCAGCGCGCGCGCTTCGGGCAGCAGCGCGGTCAGCGCGGGCGCTCCAGGCAGCAGTGCGGTCAGCGCTGGTGCTTCGCGCAGCAGCGCGTTCAGCGCGGGCGCTTCGGGCAGCAGCGTGCACAGCGCGGTCGCTTCAGACAGCAGCGCGCACAGCGCGGGCGCTTCGGGCAACAGCGCGCACAGCGCGGTCGCTTCGGACAGCAGCGCGGTCAGAGCGCGCGCTTCGGGCAGTAGCAGCGCGGCCAGCGCCAGCAGGGGCAACGGCTCGCGCTCGGCGCGCAGCAGGTCGCGCGCCAGGGAGTGCGCGGGCAGGCGGTGCAGCCGGGCGAGTCGGCGCGTCACGAGCGGCGCCAGCGCGGCGGGCGCTGCGTGGTGCGCGGCGCGGTCGGCGCAGCAGGAGTCCAGCAGGTGCCGCGCGTGCAGCAGGAACGCGCGGGCGGAGCCGGTGCGCGCGTGGTGGAGCAGCAGGGCGCGCGTGTGGTGCGAATGGTGGAGATGGCAGAGTGGACCTAGCAAGGTCCCAATACGAAGCGTCAAGTGTGCCTTGAGTAGAGAAGACCTTCGAGGGCGAAGGAATTGCAGGAAGGCCGAACTGTTAATTATGAAAAATCTAAAACGTTTAAATAGCGTGTAACGGTTAGCGTTACCGCTGATCTTTATCTTAGATCTAAATTCTAATTTAATTACTATTATCTACCTAAATAAATATACTTAAATAATAAAATATCTAAATCTACGTAAACTACCTAACTAAATAACTTAATTAAATAATTCATATTGTTTTACACTAATAAAATAAATAAAATAATAAATCTACAAGCAAACCCGCGCGAAACAATTCGTTCGAGATTTCTTTTGTTCTCTGTCGAGCGGGCGGACTGTTTTTTATGCATGCGCAAGCGACGCGCCTACGGCCGCGATGCTCCCGCCGCGTCTCCTAGTCCGAGCCAGAGCGTTATTGAGCACGGACGTATCGCTGTCCGTCACCGCCGGACCCGCGATGTACGTAACTTTATAGAACTCTAAAATGTAATCGCGTATTGGTGAACCCCGCTACCGGGTGAGTGTTGCAAAAGTATTTTTACTGCCTAGATTTTGTACTTGTGCTAAATGTAAGTGCCTAGCCGCCATTTTGTTCTCAAAATGTGCTATCCATGTGCTCGGTGTCATTTCATACTAATTAACTATTTCTATAACCTCCTGATATTATTATTTTACAACTTACTACATTATTAAATAAGTAAACTAAATATTTTATGAAATGACATCGACACGTCATGACCTTTAAATGACCTTGTTCGTACTGTAACGACACTTATTCCAAATTCTATTTAATTTACTAAATTGAACTAATCTAATCTTATTCTACTTGTTCTAATTATTCTAAATTATTGCCTACCTATATTATTCTATAAATTAATTGCCTACATAGATGATGTTCTAAATAATTATCTACCTACATAATTAAATATTTTGCCTACTTCACTTTGCAATCACTTTCTCTGCACCTACTGTAATTCTGTTTGACTGCCACATCATTACATCACCATTTATTACCAAAATCATTCCATCTGCTTCGCTAGTATTTTGATGTCGCAGTCAAACGGACAAAAGCTAGCAACTGCTTTAGTGTCCGCTTTGATTTGCAGGGTTCACGTTCACCTTCATCTCCACCTTCACGCTCACGTTCATCTCCACCTTCACGCTCACGTTCATCTCCACCTTCACGCTCACGTTCATCTCCACCTTCATCTTCTTCTACCTACTACACCATGCATGGTCACCACTGCCGATCCTACCACCTGGCTCTTCAACCCGGCAGAGCTGCCTGCCGTGTCCGACGGCCCGTGCGCACACTCTAAGTGGCCCTACACCACAGTGCGTACGGCCCTAACCGTCCGGCGCGTCGACGACTCTGCGGGATTACCATCTCGAAGAACCAAACCTCATCACCATCAATGCTAGCGAGGACAGTGGTTTGAATATACTGCCACCGGTGACGAATCTCGTGCGATACGATAGTTTGCTCGACAACCCACTCCCTAAGAGTTCTCACTACTTTATTCTAAATAAATTACTTGTTAACTTAAATCATCTTTTATTTCTCTAACTTCTAATCTAAATTCTATTATGTCACCTGGCTATAAAGCCTCTAACCGTGACAAGCGGTATCGTTATAGCCAATGAGCTGCTGTCATAGTGACATTGACGTATTGTCAATGTCACACTAGGATCAAACGTCAGAATAGAGGGACGCGCGGAGACGACTCCGCGCGCTTTTGTGCTAAGTGATGAATTGTATCTAAAATAAGGCAATATAATGTGAAAGATGAGTATCCAGTGTTTTATTTATGAGAATAGATCGACCGGCCTCTAATAGTACTTAATGCGACCACGAGTCACAAAACCCAAAATGAAGGCGTCGTTATCTTTCACAAAAAACATCTAAGATGTTCAGTGGAAGAACCTAAGGTGGCTAATGCAAACTGTTTAATACTAAAAGTTAACAATGAGTCCTGTATAGTTGCTATATATCGTCCTCCTGCTGAACAAAATACACTTAGCTTTATTAATGACCTTGACTCGGTCTTGAGTGGTGTTAGGAACTTTGAAACTATTGCGTTGTGCGGCGACATAAATATAGATATCGTTCCAGATACAACTGACACTCGACATTATGACTATCTAACCATGTTGGCCAGTCACGGCTTACTACCGGCCCACTCAATGGTCACACACGGGCGTACGTGTCTCGACCACATGATTCTCAAAACCAAACTTGACGCCCATTGTTTTGTGGTGGAGTCATCGGTGACTGACCACCAATGTGTTACACTAACTATATACAAAAAACAAATACATGACATACATAGGAGAGAACTGGTTCGGATAGACTTTGCCAAACTTACCAGTGACATATTATCTCTCAACTTTCAGCCGGTATTGGCCTGTTTAGATGCTAACAATGCAGCTAATGGTTTTCAATGAAACCATTAGCTGCATTGTTAGCATTGTTAGCTACTTACTTCTGCCATAAAACAAAACACCAAATTGTTAAAAGTCCCAACTAAGTTTGGAACCAAGAAACCTTGGGTAACGAGGGGTATGATACGATGCCTTAAGAATAGAGATAATCTACATAAAAAATTGAAAAAGGACCCGAACAATGAAATTCTGAGAGTTACGTATAAAAGATACAGGAATTTCTGTAAAACCGCACTAAAAAAAGCACGAAGGGACTTTGAAAAACGGGAACTCGAGGAAGCCTCTGGAAATACCAAAAAGTTATGGGAGGCCATTAAGACAATCACTAATATGAAAAGAGCACAAGACCATTCAGCTTGTCTTATTTCTACTGACGACCCCCAAGGCAGTATTAATATTGCTAACTCATTCTTCGCCAACATAGGGAAAAAACTTGCGGAAAAATGTATACTCCTAACCCCACACATCTCATTTATACTTTCAGGGACAGCTCACCTTCCAACTCACTAGTCATACTACCCACTAATCCGGATGAAGTTAAGCTATTAATAAGTGGGCTAAAATCAAGTGGTGCAGTTGGCTCAGATCAAATCTCCACTAATATACTAAAAAAGTTCGGACATCAACTTGCTGAGCCGATTGCACATATTTGTAATCTAGCAATTACATCAGGGGTCTTTCCGAGTGCCTTCAAAACTGCGATAATCAAGCCCATACATAAAGGGGGGGATAGAGACCGTGTTGATAACTTCAGGCCAATCGCAATACTTCCTGCAATGTCTAAAATCCTTGAACGCTTGATGAACAGACACTTAATAAACTTTTTAGAAAATAACAACCTTCTTTCTACCCAACAATATGGCTTTCGGCAAGGGAAATCTACCAACGATGCTGTCCACGACTTAACAAATCACATTATTACCAGTCTGGATAGGAAGGAAAAGTGTCTGACTATTTTCCTTGACCTCGCCAAAGCGTTTGACACGGTATCTATCCCCCACCTGCTGAGAAAGCTTGAGAGAATCGGGGTAAGAGGAACTCCACTCAAACTATTTACAAGCTATCTTACCCAAAGAAAACACAGAGTCAGGATAGATGACCAATTGAGCGATGAATTGGAGGTGTCTTTTGGTATTCCACAGGGTAGCATAAATGGGCCAACCCTCTTCTTAACCTACATAAATGGACTCTGTAATCTTGAGTTAATCAAGGGGAAAATTTTTACTTTCGCAGATGACACTGCCCTCTTCTTCAGCGGGGATAGTTGGGAGGAGGTTTTTTCCGAGGCTCAACAGGGACTCGGCGTAGTCACTGACTGGCTACGGAATAACATCCTGACTTTGAACACCTCCAAAACCAAGTACATCACCTTCGCACACAAGACTCACTTGCTTCCCCCCGCCGCTCTATCTATTACTGCCCACACTTGTCCACCTGGAAACACTTTTTGTTCGTGTCCTACCCTAGAAAGAGTCGAGACATTGAAGTATCTTGGGATTACCCTGGATCAAACCCTTTCCTTCAAACCGCATGTTCAGATTCTCACGTCTCGACTCCGTAAACTCATATATGTTTTCAAGACCCTTAGACACGCAGCTAATCGGGGAACTATCGGGATGGTCTACCGAGCTCTCTGCCAATCAATCTTGGATTATTGTATCACCTCCTGGGGTGGCTCAAACAAAACTATCATGATCCACTTGGAGAGAGCTCAAAGGGCTGTTCTGAAAGTCGGTGCAGGCTTTCCTACAGTGAC